GTGCGGGACTTTGTTCAGATAGCGATGAATTTTTTGTCCGAGAGCGGACCCCATCCAGATCCAGGTTGGCTTGGCAAAAGAGCGTATATATCAGTGAAGAGTCCGATCTATGTTCGTGCTGAGCGTAAGAAAGTGTATGAGGAGTATGTGGCCAATGACCCATTCATTTTTCCGAGTGATTGGTATGACCTGTTATTATTCCATTATACCAGTACTAGCTAGTGGTGGAGTCATACCTACCCTCATACCTACCCTCATACCTACCCTCATACCTACCCTCATACCTACCCTCATACCTACCCTCATACCTACCCTCAAAACGCCGTGATATGATAATGACTTTACTAATGATGCTTATGCATTATAACGCCACGCTGGAGGCCGTAGACCCTTCAACGACCACCTTCAACGCGGAGCAGGATGCACTCTCGAAGGTGATTATGACATGAACGCCGTGATATGATAATGACTTTACTAACGATGCCTATGCATTATTTCAACTGCATTTGTGGCAATGAATTCAAAGGAAACATGACTGTTGGTTGTCCTAAGCGTAAATTTCTATGCTCGCTATCAGCCATGATTTTCAACTCTGTAGAAATTTCTCAATTGCACTTCCTTTTTCAACTATGAGAAATGGTCACCTTACATACATTGTCATTGAGGGAGACATGCTTGAGTTATTTCCCCTCTAGTATAAGAATCGTACAATATATTGCCACCAGTTAGTTGTCTTTTCTTCGAGCACGCAAGGCGTGTTGTCATAATGTCTATTTGCCTAAAATTATCTCAAATATTAAATTTTAATTTTTCGTTTATGTTTACACTGGCAAGTTTTTAAGATATAATTAGATCTCAGCTGGACCTTCGTGAGTCTAAGAAAATATTGTATAATTTTCCTTCCGAGCCATTCTTCTTTCAGATCGACATCCAGAAGTTGAATCATTTCTACAACTGCTCATCGGCCCAAGAAGTCTCTTCTAGCAACATCACTACATCCACCACATCCATCTCTACATCCTCCACATCCACGAGTAAGACTATTTTGTTGCGCCAATGTATTGTCATTGGACTAACTAATTCGGGAGCTGTATAATCAATGGCTAATCATTCTTTAACTTCTCATGGTAATTATAAAGGGACAAAAGTAGTTGTAGAATTGTTATATTTCTCAGAATTAGCATAATCCTACTTCCACCATTGCTAATAAAATTATCAGTCATTAAATGACACTGACAGCATTCGATTGTTTGTTGACAAGACTTGCAGTTTCCTGTAGAATTGCAGCGATAACAATTGCATTGTTGCAGCGATTACAATTGTATTTTTGCAACGAAAACAATTGTAATTTTGCAGCGATAACAATTGTATTTTTGCAGCGGGTACAAATTTATTATTGCAGCGAGTACAATTGTATTGTTGCAGCGGGTACAAATTTATTATTGCAGCGAGTACAATTGTATTGTTGCAGCGGGTATTGTTGCAGTGAGTACAATTGTCTTGTTGCAACGATAACAATTTTTTTGCAACGAAAACAATTGTAATTTTGCAGCGATAACAATTGTAATTTTGCAGCGATAACGATTGTATTTTTGAATCGAGTACATTCGGAAACTGTACTAGCAGGTGAACCAATTGGTGAAAGCGGCTTCCCAGCGCCGGCATTGCAAGATGCAGGCGATGCTGCCGCCCGCGGTGGAAGCGAAAATGTTGGTGGAATCGCACGCAGTGGTGCATCAGATGTCGGAGGCAGCGACATCAGTGGAAACGAGACGATGTTGTCAGAAAATGCAGGTAGCGTAGAAGCAAATTGGTGGAAGAAATATTGTAACAAAACTTTTTTTTATAACGTAGAGGATCACCCCACTCCATATGTTCTGCAAATCCGAAAACTCTCTAGAAATTAATTTCTAAACCTCAGAAAATCAAAGCTTACACTTCTAACGAGTTACTCCTGTGATAGTAATCTTAACCCAAAAGAAATTTGAAGTCAGCCATTTTTTTTATAAAACACCGCTGTTGTCAACCACAAAACAATGCACATATTTTACTCAGTAACATTACAATAGTTCACTACCCTCAGCAGGCACATGGAATGGCGCTGCCTTCACCGAGTTTGTAAGCGCCTCTGATTACGGCGACCCTGAAGCTCATAATTTATCAATGCTGCTCCTCTCGCCCACCAGTGAGTACCTCTGCGTCGTGTCTCACGACAGTCCTAAGAAACTTTCCAACTGCGTTTCTAAGAATTTTTTTTATTCTGTTCTTCTCGCACGACCAATCATTCCTTGTGTCGTGAGTCTCAGATCAGTCCTAAGAAATTTTCCTACTTCTTTTCTAAGAAACTTTCCTTATTATATTCTACTCACACGACCCGATCATTCTTTGCGTCGGGGATCTCATGTCAGTCTTAAGAAACTTTCCTACTTCTTTTCTAAGAAACTTTCCTTCTGTTCTCGCTCGACCCAATCATTCCTTGTGCCGTGAATCTCATGTCAGTGTTAAGAAACTTCCTTATTATGTTCCACTCGTACCGGTCGCCATCATCCCAATCATTCAAGTTTGAGCGGTGCCGGCAATTTGTGTTTGCCAATTATTTGAAATTAAATTCCCAGTAGAATTGAATTCAAAACAATGTGTTTTTGCGTGCCGTTATTTACTTGTAGTCGTAAATCAACCACAACTTCGATTAATTATTACATTTTAAACTGATACATATATGAAATATTTCTTCGCGCATTGATTGTACTTTCTTGTTATGGCAGCAAGTGCAGCTGGCAAGCTACACGTCGTCTCCTCAGCACAGTTTGTGATGATGCTGACGTCGGCCATCTTGTGCTTCAGCAGCAGCTTTGCACTCTCATTGGTGCAATAAAATACTATTACTATTGTATTGCAAACATTTTTATTTTGACAATAAATAACATAAGTCATAAAATGAATTTTTCTCGCCTCATTTCAATAAGTCTCTCACCCGATACATTTAAGGTGATCGGTGTACTATACAAGTATAAGCTTAAACGTCACTGCAAATAAAGCTTGGGCATCATCGTTACAAAAGAATAGAGGCCACTGCATTTGAAGCTTGTACATCACTACGACAAAAACATGGATGCCACCACATCAGAAACATTGTTGTCGACACAACAGAAATATGGAAGTTGCCAAAACAAAAGCCCAGGCGCTTCGAACACAAAAAACACGCGCGTCACAAGAGCTTTGGCGCTATGTAATTCATGCTGCAGTAAACAAAGAAACAAATTTCAAAATAATTCGGATGTTTCTTAAATTTTTAATATGAACATTTTCAAGGACAGCTGCTTTCGGAACACAGCTATCTGAAAGGTTCTCTGTTAGGTACACGAGTAAAGCAGGCATGTTTGTCACATTTCGTCCACTGAAAAGTTCCTCTGTTACGAACAAACGTCTAACAAGAAGCTCACTTCCTTTTAGGTTTCGGTAAAGCATTTCTGCCGTCCATAGTATAGTATAGTATAGTATAGTATAGTATAGTATAGTATAGTATAGCGTCAACAATATCTTCAGGGAGGCTGTTCCACATGTCGGTGACTCGAAGCGAGAAGAAATGTTGTCGCGTGGATAAGTTGCACCGCAGTTTTTTTAGTTTATAGCTGTAGCCCCTGGTGTTGGTTCTTGTTTCAAATCCTAGTAATCCAAAGGTGTCAGGCAGGCATAGTTCTTACTTCTAGGTGCCTAAATTATTTTCGTTCTCTGTGAAGTTAGTCTCACGTCAGTCGCAAAAGAAAATCCACATTCTTTCTACTCGCACGACCGGGCATCTCAACAATCCTAAAGACTACCCTACTACTCGTACAATACAATCCTGTCCTGAATCTCCCATCAGTCGACGATAATTATTATTTAAACACGTCCAGACCAGAGAATTTATTGTTAATGTCAATTAATGATTAGAGAATTTATTGATTTAAATATACAGGGTCGAACAATTCTTCAGATGATGGTTGATCGAAAGGCTGGTTAGACTACACTGGCCTATTAACATAACATAACATAGTGATCTCGGCGCTGCAGTGTAGGCCTGATGTGGCCTGTCGCCGATTCTTTTCCTTTTCGTGCCTTGTTCACAGAAGATCTAAAATCGTGTCATTTGACCGTATCTTTTCACCACTGACGAAAGTTTGAAATAGCTACTCGATTTCTACCGGGTTCTATATGGTGCTAGGCATTTCAAATCTGAACATATATTTTTCCATAGCTCTTTCATAGCTCATTTTTCCATAGTCTGTTCTTGAACGCCTTCATACTTGGAGCGCCAACGATGTCATCGGGGAGGCTGTTCCACATGTCGGTGATTCGAAGCGAGAAGAACTCCCGCTGGAGAGAACTTGGAGAACTCCCGCTTTTTTGCAGGGGTCGTTGCTGCGTATTGTTCGGGGTTTGACCTCCTGCAGGAAATTTTGAAATTATAAATAGTTTATTGTTGCGTACACTAATTTCAAATGCCAAAATTAGTTTAATTATTGTGGTTCTACATAAAAATACAAACAAACGTTATAAAAAATTCTGCCTGTAGCCCAGTTGAAATTTGATTCTGATTTTTGATTGCCAATTGTACACAGAATTGAATAATTGCAGCAACATATTTCCTACAACGGCACTGATGAATCTGATACTTTACGTTTCTACTTACTCTAATTAATGTGTACTTAGAATCCTGCTACCAAATGCAATTAATCCTTGATCGAACATGTCAATCACATTTTCATTCGATTTTCATGATTGAACTAGTTCAATCATTCCGTTTCGTGCTCCACGCTACACCTAAATTCACTTCACTTACCACGTCTCGGACGAATTTACGGCCGGACCTGCGGCCGGTCTCGCGGCCGCGCTCCAGATTCAGTGTACATCGAATATCTCCCAAAGTACTGAACGTAGCTCGATGAAACTTGGTACACGTATTCATTAAGTGTACACGAGATTTCTTCTAAAATACTGAACAGATTTGAATGACCGTCGGGCCATAATGAATACGTGTACCAAGTTTCATTGAGCTACGTTCAGTACTTTGGCTTTGGGAGATATTCGATGTACACTGAATCTGGAGCGCGGCCGCGAGACCAGGCGCGGGTCCGGCCGTAAATTCGTCCGAGACGTTCACTTACCACTGTCTTAAAAGGATTTTCGACTGCACTTTTGACGTTCATGGGTTCCAGCTTTTAGGAGTTAACCTTCATGACATCCCCAGTTTTCTGTCAAGACTACAGAGGCAACAGAGCTGCTCTGCCTGCTGTACTGCTCAGTGCTCACTGCTGTACTGCTCACTAGCGGCTCCTCATGTCATTGCCAAGTGATATATTTTAGGTAACGTACGTTGGTACGGTTGGTAGACTGGCTGGTAGGAGTGCGAGTAGGTCAGTAGGATGAAGAAATGTTGAAAAACAAAACTTGAATGTTATGTCTATTAAAATGCCTAGAATTAGAATTACAGGATTTGGATGAAATACCTACCTAACTCCTAAGCTAAGGGAAACGCCTGATACCTATTTTGATTAAGTAATTTTTGTACATGTTCCTATTAACAATGAAAGCATGAAATATTTTTTATAGTTAGGTGCTACTAGTTGAATCAATGTTGAAATTTACTCTTGGACCTTGCACTTGCACAGAATGCCACAGATATTATTAGTAAATTTTTGTATCTATAGACTATAGTATAGGCTAAGGCCTGCTAAGCCTAACTGAACTCAGTGAACTGAGTATAATATAATGTACAAATAGTACAATAATACTCATAGCTTAGTTAGTTGTACTGCTGACTCGCTGGACGCTGAGCCTGTCATAATTACATTTGGTGCAATTTTCAAAGTAGTAAGTACAATTCTTCCAAAGTTTTTTTTTATATTGAGGAAAAAACTGAAAAACTTTTTTTAGAGTGGAAGGCTACGTAGCTAGGTATAGATATTCTATCACTGCCATGACTGGTTTAAACTTTAAATTTGACCCTACTTGTTTATAACTACCTATATAAGTTATAACTTTGGAGTTTTAAAAGTTCCAGCTTACCTGATGGAAAATTTGAATTTTCCTATAGTTCCTACTAGGCTACTACTGCAGTACTGCTACAGTGCTACTACCGTAGGCGTAGAGCGTAGACCGTAGTACAATCCTACTTCATCTTGGTACTGAAATCTTGTGGCTCTAAAGTTACAGATTTTTAATACATTTGGAATTGCAAGGCCCAATCCAGGCAATCCTGTTCTTTTGTTAACAATTAGGTTGGAGATAATTCATCTAAGGTTAGTGCACAGTCACTGCACACAAACCTTGGGCTTGATGCAATAGAGACTAAGAATTTTAAAGTTGAATGAATTTCTGAAATGATTAGAAAATATAATTTACAAATGCAATTTGCAAGCTCTTCAATTAAGCATAAGGTCCAGACTCCAGCCTAATGCCATCACCGCCTCAGCGCCTAGGCAATTATTTGTAAAACTATTCTCTTATATTTTCCTCTTTCAGGGTAATGGCTGATCAACAATTGGTATCTGGTGCTATCTCCACAGCTGCTTCAAACCTCAGAGATACCCTTGCTGCTGCTGAAAATTTGTTTAAAGGTATGATCTTTCAATAATTATAATTTAAACATTACCTAAAAATAAATCATTTTTATTTTATTTTATGTCTGTTATTATTAATACTCATCAATCAGTTATGTGACCATGAGTGAAAAATACCATTTATTAAAATTTTTTTCACCATTCAAATTAAATGTGAAATATTCCATATAATCCTGTAACAGAATAGTATTTTTACCATGTGTATTCTTAACTTCTTCTTGCAACATATTTAAACTTCACAATTGATTCTGAAAACCCGAGATCTTGAACCATTAAGTGACAGTTATTTTTAGATTTTTATTACAAATAGCATTATATAATTGTATGGTTTCATCTGGTTATAGGTATCTGCTTCAAGTTCATTCATGCTTGACAATTTGTTGGTGATTGCTCCTGCTGTCTGCTGCTGCTTTGTGATCTGCAAATGCTGACTGCTGGTGCTGTGTGATCTCTTGCAAATGCTGACTGCTGGTGCTGTGTGATCTCTTCCAAATGCTGACTGCTGGTGCTGTGTGATCTGCAAATGCTGACTGCTGGTGCTGTGTGATCTGCAAATGCTGACTGCTGGTGCTGTGTAATCTGCAAATGCTGACTGCCGGTACTGTGTGATCTCTTGCAAATGCTGACTGCTGGTGCTGTGTAATCTGCAAATGCTGACTGCTGGTGATCTCTTGCAAATGCTGGTTCTAGGTGAAGACTTTTGGTGATCTACAAATGCTGTTGCTGTTTGCTATGCAAATTCTGAGAGCTGGTGTCATTGTGCAGGTGCTGTGTGATCTGCATATGCTGACTTCTTCTCACTCCATCCCATCTGTTGCTCAACTGTACTAGTGCTTGAAATGGCCCATGAACTCCAACTACTCATTCTAATCTGTTTCTTTTTATCTAATTAACTTTTTTTTTATCTTGTTTTGCATTTCGTTTGTAGATGAAAAATATAAAAATCGTAAAGGTGCTCATCCATGCGGCAGTTTCATTAGTAAGACTCTCTGTGCGGTTTAAAAATTTGTAACCAATTTGTCAAAGGATCTATTTAAGTAGATAAAAAACAATTTAAGAAAAGTTAGTGTAATGTTTAGGGCACTTTTGTTTGGAATCCCTGTGGGCATAACATTTGTTGATTGTGTTGGCTATGTTGCCAAAGTTGATGGGGTGTCCATGCAGCCTTCCTTGAACCCTGATCTCAGTGCAACTTCAGACTTTGTGTTTCTTAGTCGTTGGTCATGGCGAAAGTTTAATTATTCAAGAGGAGACGTCGTGTCTTTAATATCTCCCAAGAACCCAAATCAAGCCATCATCAAACGGGTCATAGGGCTTGAAGGTGATCTGGTCAAGACTTTAGGTTACCGAAGGAAATATCTGCGGGTCCCTAGAGGCCATTTTTGGGTCGAGGGAGACCACACTGGTCATTCCCTGGACTCTAATCACTTTGGGCCTGTTGCCCTTGGTCTTATCACTGCAAAAGCTACATCCATTGTTTGGCCTCCACATCGCTGGGGCCCATTAGAATCTTACATCCCTGGCGGGAGACAACCTCTTAATTCTGAGCCACTGAAAAATAACGCATTTTGTGACGATCTTGGAGAATTTATTGAGTAATAATTACATGTTCGTTCCAAGGTGTGCCATACTAATTTGGTACCGTCTATTGTAGTTGGTTTAAACCACGTAATCTTCATTTTTATTTCGCTCTAACATAGGTACCATTTTTTTTTAATTTTCAACCATGGCAAGCAAACAAATAACATTCACGATGCCATTGTGCTTTAAATTTGAAGGGAATATGTACAAAAATGCAGTTACGCTTGGTGATGTCGACAATGATGGTTTGAATGAGCTGGTGGTTGGAAATGACAAGGGAGACCTTGCTATTTTCAAGGGCGAGAACCATGTGCCGGTACGGTGGGCGTCTGACGTGGGGCTAGTGTCCAGTATTGCGGTAGGGGACGTAGTCAATCTCAGCAGGAACGTTCTCTTGGTTATAACATCTTGTGGAAATTGTTCCATCTATGACTTTTCTAATGATTCAATTAAAGAAACTGATAAACGCAAGGAGCTCATACCCGTTCACAGTCAGAAGCTGCCTGCTAACATCAAGATGGCGCTGATAGGTGACATAAATGGTGACAGTTTCTGTGAGCTTGTAGTTGCGCTCACGGACAGAATCGTGCGCACTTATAAATGGACAGACTCCGGCTTGTGCGGAGTATCTGGTTTCCCGCAAGGGAAGCTCATTGCTCAGAACAAGTGGGAGCTCTCAGATCAAATAGGAGGCATCGCTCTCAACCGCGGTGAGGGAAACCAAACTCTCCTCGTGTCGCAGCCAGGGGGTTCTTGCTTCACCCTCAGCCCTCCCACTGCCTCTTCGTCCGACCTGGAAGTGGATGAGAACATACCGACGCTTCTCAACAAAATGTCTATTGAGTTTGAGTCTCTGGACTCGTCGACTTGTTTCAATCATAAAGTGCAGACGGAAATATGCGGAGATGTTGAAGTAGAAGACCAGGCAGGACTGCACCATTTCCTGGGTGACTCGTACAGCAGCTGTAGTGGAAGTAAAAACTTATCGTACGGCGGTGCCAGCTCGCCTGGCTACGTACTTGCCACAGCAGACGGTCTTGTAATGCTTGTGAGAGACAGAAAAATTTTGTGGAAGTGCAATGTACGCCACCAAATTTTGTCAGTTTCCCAACTCCTCTTGCCTTACAAGAGCAAAACAGACAGCATGTCATCAGGCACCAACTCCGATCGACTCACGGACGAGCTCGAGCGAGACTCGTTTGGTGAATCAGACGAGTCGGTGAGTCTCGACGCCGCGCCCAACCTGTCTCCTTCCATCAACAAATCTCCTGCTGTGAGGTCATTGTCATCAAAATCCATGCCATCGACGCCATCTAAACTTGCTATTCCGATACCCAACTCGAAGCCTAAGCGTTTGTCCAACAGAGAGAAGTACGGACAGAGAGTGGTCACTAAGATCGTCGCGTGCTCGCCTGACGGCACCACGTCCATACTGGAGGTGACCGATGGACGCTGTGCGACATTCATGTTTCACGACAACGTTGCGTGCTGCACATCAGGATTCTATGGATATCAGGGTAAACAAGTTCCCTGCATTGTTTACGTGGGGTATTCGGATCAAGTATTGATTTACCATGATGTTAGTACCGCCTTGTTAGACAAGCCTAAGCTCATGGACGAACTTAGAGGTAATATTCTGTATGTGGAGGCTTTACGCCAACTTGGGATCGAGATTGAAAACAAGGAACACGTGCGACAACTCAACAGGTATCTAATGTACGGATACGATCCGCCTTTTGAGGTTATTTCATGAACGCTTCTATGCCCCAATTAATCCCCGAGAACAATCTGATTGTGAAATCGCTGCAAAACGTATTTCGGCATAAAAATCAGCATAACAATCCTATAGCTTTTACGATGAATCTGTAGGTCTATTCAATGCCCTTACTATTTAAATTCAGTTGAAAAAGCACTATTGATTTCAGATCATATTGTCTTTAAAGGATGATACTGACCACAAAAAGGCTTTTATTGCAAGAGTTAAAGCAAACGGAAAATATTTTGCTTGAAAAACTTAAAGTTGCGATTTTCAAGATCAAAAGTAAACTACATACTCGCTTTGCAGTTCTCTATATAATTGCTAATCTGTGATACGTCTGGCAACTCGTGTAAAGCATCCGCAATTGAACTCCCAACTCCAATACACTTACCGCTATTTCACCGACCATAACTGAAATGTAATTTGTTTTTATTGTTAGATTTCGAGTGCACATTTATTTATTACGTTCGCACTCTTTTACCGAGCTTGGTTTCTTCAAATTCTCTGGTACATCGTAGCAATTGATAAATTTATAATTTATCTTTGTTTTAAGACTTGTAAAATTTGTAGCGGAAACATTAGTTTGGTATCACCTGTGACATTTAATATGCATAGTCAACGAACTGTTTCTGAAAGATACATGGATAAACACAGTCTCGTTCATTACTAGCCATGACCGTAAACAAATGAGAACTCATTCTCTATCCTACTCGACTCGTCCTACCATGTTCGTTTGTTTCTTATGTTGAAATCATATTGCAGTTTGGTTTTCTTAAAATCGGGGTATAGATATGCTAGTCCCAGGATTTAACGTCTCGCTGAACGTTTTGTAGACCAATATTCTGTGCTATCGAATCTTCATTATTATGATGATATTAAATTTCCCCGTTATGGACCTAAGTTCAGTTCAATGACTGCACTTTATTCGTTGTGTGTAGAGTATCAGCGTTGTCCCGTGAGTGATGAGGGCATTGTTTCGCTGATGCGGTTTCCAGCTTTACAAGACCTGCGCCTAATGACGGCCCAACACTAAAGATACGAATAACATTGACCATGGTTAATGAGCCTGTACACAAGGTGTTAAATCGTGCGCAACTGTGTTACTGTGGAGGTATTAATATTACACAACTGTAGTAATAAATGTTTTGATTGCTATTGCAACAAGTGCATTAACTGTGCTAGCCAGTCTTAAATGACATTTACAGAATTTATTCGAGGACGTGCCTAAATATTTTTCAGGTAGAGATTTGTAGTCCCGAAAAATTTCGATGTGGAAATGTTGGGTACATTTTAAAAGAAATATTAGCGTGTGAAAGTGTATTCCTCATCGACTTGTAAATAAATGTGTCGTTACAATTGATCTCTGTTGCTGTTTCCTTCAATATAGCACATTACTTGTGGAATATACTGCTTTCTTTCTGGAAAAAATTATTTCACTGATTATTTACTACATAATTGAAAAAAACTTCCCTCATAACGGCCAAGTGAAGACAGTATAGGTACGGTAAGGTACCTATATTACATGGAATATTTTCTTGAAAAATGTCACGTTACGGTGGACACATTCCTCGTACGTTAAGTGATGTGCGTAGTATGCAAGTTTGTTGCCGTATAAATTAGGTACCATGGTACTTCACAGGGTGGCCCAGTGCTTACAGTTCAGAGTACCAAGATTTGGAGCAGAGAGGCGCGGGTTCGATCCCAGCTTTGCGCAAATTTCTGGTCAGAATCGGCGACGAGGCCGGGAAGTAAAGCCAAGCAAAATTGGAGCAGTGAGTTGCGTGTTTGAGACCGCAACAAGCTGATAGTGTTCTGCGATGTTAAAGAATCTGCATCGGGCTTACGGCCTAATGAACGCTGAAAGAGCTATATTATTCAAGATCGGTTACGAACGTTTCTCAAAGTTGCGTATCGTATCACTTGATACGTACCAGAATTCAGCATAATTTATATATATATGATGTTCGTCGTAAGGCGTGTACCCGGTTTTCCTCCACTTTGCACTGGACATGGCGAAGGAATACATTCGTTTCTTCAACAGCTCCATAGATTTATCTCGAGCCTTCTCCTTTCCTAATAGACGTTGCGTGTTGTCTATGATTACAATGATAACGCCTCCATAGTGCCCCTGTATGCTGTGGTACTATGTTGCTCCAGTTACAATATTACATGATAACCTGAATAACCAACCATTCACTTTAGCAAACTTGATATCTATGTTTGGGTTATGTAAAATTGAGAAAAAACCTTCGTTTTATGCATCGCTTCATTTTTATTGCGAATAATTACTATTAACATGTCACTTAATACCTGCCAGCAAGAATGGGAGTCGTTCCTTAGCCGCGTGGAGAACGCTTCCGTGGTTCAGTCAGGAACCTTGCCTACGACGAGCCTTCTGGAGGTGGGCGACTTCCTGCCTCTGGATCTGCTGCTCTTCCAAGTTGGTGAAGATTCACCGACTTCTTTGAAGGTAAATTCATCCGTATTAGCGTTCACAAAGTTGTCATAACTGAAATGTTCACCACCTATATTGGATTTTTTTTTATATATTGATCATAAATCTTGGGAACGTTCAGGTTCGGGTTATTTCACTTTTCTAAAATCATTTTCCGCATCTTTGGAGCTCAGTCAGTATTGAGCAGCGGATCCGAGCCGTACACTCACTTAGTGCTCAACCGCTTCTTCGGGTGACTGCCGTGACGTCAGCACTGTGCCCGGCTGGCGGATGCTCAGGTCAGTATACCTTTTCTTCGCAAACATAATCCGATTATATGCGGTGAAGATAATTATTGCTCGAGAAAATGCATCTTTATAGGCATATTTAATTACATGATTTATTTTAGTGTAAAATAATTATCTAATTGTCTGTAAATTTATTTTTCCTTTGATTATATTTATATTTCAGCATCTTGTTGTAATATGATATCCTAGCCATAGACCCTTCTTCGCGGCAACTGGTCGCTTTCAGGTGGCCGAGGAATGGCCAACGGTCGGCTATAACTAATTGGGTAGGCCGACCACTGGCCCCGTATTATTCTTCGCCCCTCATTGACTTATCTGAATCTGAATCTGAATAACCAACCATTTTCAGTCGACACTCAACCGAGTAGTACCATCGGACAGATGTAGCGAGTCGCTTTGTATCGATATTGTAATTAATCATTTCTTTAAGAGTTTTATCAAACCTTGTACAAAATTACACCTTGTAGTCACAAATATGGTTTTTGTCCCTAATGTCTCTCAGATAATCCAGCTGGCTTTCTGGATCACATCGGAGTCTTGCTGGGCGGCATCGACGCGTATACGGCGCTCTTCAAGAGGTGAGGGAAGACGCTACCGTAAAGGCCGATAACCTCGCCAGCAACACTAAAGTCGCCCGCCTTCAATGGAAGCGATCTATTTTATTAACAAAAGAAGCACATCTCTTTAGCGTGATCAAAACAGCCATGTAGTCATCATGTGGTTATCGAACCCTACAAATCGTTGTGACCAGTATTATAGGCCTACTGATTTTAGTAGGTACGAGCGGCGAGGTAAGTGCAGTTAATGTAGAGTGGCGACTTGTGTAACATTGGCGGTACAGCTCGCTATAAACCACTTGAGAAAAAAAAAACTTTGAAACCTTCATTTGAATCGGATATAAATTCTTCGTATTGGTACAACATCGAATAAATGCGTACTTTTCGTATAACATATTCCTGCACTCAATCTCAAATGTTGAAATCTTTTGAAGGTTCATTGCTTTCCAGCGGTTTCAACCTATTTTAAAATTTGACTGCTTCTCATATTTCCTAAATTCAGTGGTTTTAAATCTGATAAAACCGATTTTGTAAAATGTATCAGAACACGGCTTGACATTGCCAGTTAAAATGAATGCTTCTCATCGGCGTGTTGCACTGTTGGGCTCTCCATCGTGATTATACGAAATTTGTTAACAAATTTTTTTTATTTTGGTCTATATCTCATGTGCAGTAACTCGCAGTGATGCGATAAATTATCTCTTACAATCTATACTCCTCTTTTGAATTACCCAGATTAATTCTCACTGGTCCATTCAATTGAAAAAGTGTTTTTGAAAAGCACCTTTCATGGGCCCATAGTGACACCATACTGAGTATGTTCGTATACAAGTTTGTGCGTGTACACAGTATGAGCGAAGTCGACTAAAAACATATATTACATGTGACGTGTACCACAGTATAGGTAAATCTAGATCAAGTCGCTTTGTAATATGAGTAAAACTAAAGGACTAGAGGGATATATGTTCAAAACCCAGATTACCAAATATGACTTACTAATGAAGTGACCACTTCAATACCCGACAGACATGTTCGATGCGTGATTCTTCACGTGCCATCAACTTTTTTATCTTATTTACTTATTATATTTCAATTGACCATACAATTTTTCTGTACTCCCTAGCACTCAGTGTTAATTGCTTGTATTTTAAGTTGTTAAAATTTTTATTATTGTTGAGAAACAATTTTTCATTGTTTCCTAGCACTGAGTGCTAAGCATCTTGTATTTTAAAGTGGTCTTATTTTTTAGCACCGGTTTTAAGAGCAAACAAGAGCTCGAGGATGGCGTGAGGAAGCTTGACAACGATGTGAGGAAAGCGGCCGAAGACTTGCTGGATGCCGAGGTCAGTGCTTAACTGTTTATGCATACCAATTAATTAATCTTTTTCAGGAAATTAATTTTGGAATTCAACGAGCAAGATTTTTTAGAAGTTCTTCCATCAATTTTTGAATTGAAGCCTCGACCATCCATCTAATGAGGCATTCCTCAAACACAGATCCAATTGCCCCCCCCCCCTCTCCCTGAAAAAAAAAGACAGGCGGGATTAGGAGACGTTAACAATTAAAGCTGAGTTACAAAAAAAAAGAACTTCAACACACTCGCAGCATTATCAGCTTATAATAATAGGATATTTGACTTAAAAAACTTATTGGACCTAATGACTTAATAATAAACTAATTGGACCTAATGTTCGGTTTCCCCGACAGCCGGCGATATTCTTATGCCTTGAGCTGACATTCAAAAAATTTCGGCCAATCACTCACTTCAGTAAGCTTGAAATCTATGCTTGAGTTATGTAAAGTTGAGAAGACACCGTCGTTCTATACATAACTTAATTTTTATTGCGAATAATTACGATTAACATGTCACTTAATACCTGCCAGCAAGAATGGGAGTCGTTCCTGAGCCGAGTGGAGAACGCTTCCGTGGTTCAGTCAGGAACCTTGCCTACGACGAGCCTCCTGGAGGTGGGCGACTTCCTGCCTCTGGATCTGCTGCTTCACTTTAGCAAACTTGATATCTATGTTTGGGTTATGTAAAATTGAGAAAAAACCTTCGTTTTATGCATCGCTTCATTTTTATTGCGAATAATTACGATTAACATGTCACTTAATACCTGCCAGCAAGAATGGGAGTCGTTCCTTAGCCGAGTGGAGAACGCTTCCGTGGTTCAGTCAGGAACCTTGCCTACGACGAGCCTCCTGGAGGTGGGCGACTTCCTGCCTCTGGATCTGCTGCTCTTCCAAGTTGGTGAAGATTCGCCGACTTCTTTGAAGGTAAATTGAACCGGATTAGCGTTCACAAAGTTATCATTACTTGAATGTTCACCTGTATTTGATTTGTTTGTTGCATAATGATCAAAAATCTTCGGAACGTTCTGGTTCGGGTTATTTCATTTTTTTAATACCACCGTCCGTATCTTTGGTCGGAACGTTCAGGTTCGGGTTAGTCATTTTTCTAATATCTAATATCTCCTTATCTTTGGAGCTCAGTCAGTATTGAGCAGCGGAACTGAGCCGTACACTCACTTAGTGCTCAACCGCTTCTTCGGGTGACTGCCGTGACGTCAGCACTGCGCCCGGCTGGCGGATGCTCAGGTCAGTATACCTTTTCTTCACAAACATTGTCCGATTATATGCGGTGAAGATAATTATTGCTCGAGAAAATGCATCTTTTTAGGAATATTTAATTACATGATTTATTTTAGTGTAAAATAATTATCTAATTGTCTGCGAATTTCTTTTTCCTTTGATTTTATTTCTATTTCAGCATCTTGCACAGTTGTTGAGGATTGATGTTGATGACGTTGCCAACATGATTATAATTTTATTGTTTATGATTAATTATGAACCGTTATGGTCGTACTTTTATTATTTTCTTATGTCAACATAACTATAATTATGTTGATTGTTATCATCTGTGCAGTACAGAGTTGTTAATTTTTCTTGCGCAACATAAAGCTGCAAACCAGCAATTTCGAAACGTTGTTGTAGTATCCATGGATGATTATGAATCCCAATACCAAACTCGTAACTGGCGAGCATAATTCCAACTTCTACTGAACAAACGCCTGTTAACTTTGTGATTTCGGACTTGATTGAAATTTACCTTCATCATGAAGGAAACTCTGACCAAGTCCGGGGTGCGGATGGTGGTGTTGACGTTTGGTGAACACGAGGGGGCGCTGGTGTGGCGACGACAAGAACACTGCAAGTTTGAGTTCTACCGCAACCCGGACTTGTCTGTCTACAGGGCGCTGGGGCTACGCAGGTTCATTAACAAATCTATATCATTCAATATGAAATTTACATTCATGTGACTGATTAGCTGTAGATTTTTTCAAATAATAGATAATATTACTAGTAGATTCAGTGCTATGTATATATATTTTTATTTTACCTCTTCTTGAGCATTCTTGAATGAACATCATAGATTTTCATCACTGCTACACTTCTGTATATTCATTTCTGCACTTCATGTACAATTATGAACTGCTTTTGATTTTCCTCTTATTATTTCAACCTAATTTCAAACCTGATGGGTTAGCAGGTTAGACTTTTGATCCTATGATAGATATTTTTTTACCCGGGTAGAGAGTGTACGGTTGCCAGCTCTCAACTAAGTGACGTGGATAGTAACTAATTTCCAGTCGCTGTTGCCAATTAATGACCGCTGCTCGGCACAGGCGGAAGTACAATTAATCTCAGCAGAAATTCCTAAGAAGGCCTCGGATTCAAGCCTCCTCACGGCCGTCCGGTATGCCTGACAATTACATTTATTTTGCTGGGATTAAGACTGCTTGGCCTATGCCGAGACCGGCTTCCGTGGCTCGAATGGTATACATTGTGTTCCGTGATCGGCTTCCGAATGGTATACATAACTTGGTCATGTTTTGTTAACAGAAAAAGTCGCTTGTGCTAGTTGCTAACTGAGTGACATATTAAATATATTACGCCTTCAGTTTTCTACGCATGTATTTTCTACTGATATAAATGAAAATATATGCTGGAAAATTTTCTTTTAATCCCTCTGCAAGATTGTCGGAATGAGACGAATTGCGTCGAATTTATCCGTGAGCATTATTCGTGTGACTGAGAAAACGAATGTCACTATTTTTTTGCTTATTAATGTCAAACATTTGTGTACATACTTAGTAATATTCGTACGCATTCAATCAGGATCTTATTGAAACATCAATATGCTCCAGGTTATAAATACCATAGTGAATTTAAGGCTGTGTAATTCTTTTCTAATTATCACGTTACTCTTCCGTTGCGTACCATAGGCATCTAGTACAGCATTATATACGCAGCATTTCTAACATATGGACCATCTATGTTATAATTCCATATGGAACGAACGGAAAGTCTATGTTAGAAGTCTATGTGGAAATTGTGGCACGTCTATTTTGGAACTTTATATTGACGGTTTAAGATCATCTGTCACGGGAAGATGATAGACAAATAAAATCATTTCTTTGGAGCCGTGATAGTGAGCACTCCGTCAGCTGATAATGACGCCGTCACTTTCTCGGGATCCCCGAGGGCCGGCAACTCGAACTCCCTCTTGAAGCTGATGCCAGCCTTGCTACCCGTCACCGTGAGCGTGTCGCCCGCACACTTCAGGTCCAGGGAACCGTCCGCGAAATCCTTCACGTCCAGAACCACCTGTCAGAATTGTGTAGTCAATTAATCAGTGTTTGTTTAGATTCGCAAAGTTTCTGGATTTTTTCATGATAATTTTTCAATTTGATAGGAAGCTGGATCTGAAAACCTGACTTACATGCACGTTAAAATCAGAAAACTTTTTTTTTTCATACTCTACGGATTTAACATCCAATATTTTATTTATCTGCTCACCGGAAAATATGGCTTAAAATAAATGAATATTAGAATATATCTTAAATAGAGCCCTTAAATTTTCAAAATTCTACTAATTTCAACGCTGCCTCTCGTCACCTTATAATTTCCACCATCGACGGAGACTGTGGACGCTTGACTGTCTTCCCCCGAGTTCCAGCTTCTGAGGGTTCTGTACGACCTGAAGCGGTCCGACATGGGGGCCGTGAAGAGTCTTAGCTGAGCCTGCATCTCTTGGCTGGCTTTCCTCTGTCTCTCCAGTCTTTCTGCCTGGTACCTCCTTCTTTGTTCTTCTTCTTCCTTCAATATGTTCTGAATCACATCCGCCATCGCCTCGTCTCTCTTTATCCTTGCTTGCTGCCTCTGTTCCCTTCTCTGTTTCTGTCTGGACACCATATCTTCCATGGCCGTGTCGAAATCTTTCCAAACATTCTCAAAGAATACGTCTTTAAAGAACTGACCTCTTCTCGATATTGGAAGTTCTCTGTATTCTCCCGTTTCACTAGACTCCTGTTTGGTAAATTTTGTCGCAGCAGATGAGTTATCAGAAACTCCTGCGCTCTCAGACCCTTCAGCGGCCTTGGCAGTGCTAAGTTGATCGTCCCCGCCGACGTCAATCTTTAGGCTCGATTCGAAATTCGAGTTACCGTTCCCAGGCCTGGATGAACTGTCGACCGATGAAGAAGCTTCCAGTTTCTTAGTTTGGCGGTCCTGCAACGTTAAAATTTCTTAGACCTAAAATTATCAAATAATTTTTAAGCATCATCATGCTGATGGCAGAACTACATTTCTACCATTTCATTTCCTTTTCTCTGGAGTCTGCTGTGATGGAATGTGAATTGTTTCAGTCATACATCATTTTCTAATTGCTAACAATGGCAAATCACGAGGAAAAAATCTCTCAACATTTCAATTCTGTTAATACATTATTGGTCTTAGCCCCACGAGCGGTCATTTTATCATATATCGGTCGGGGCTCCTCACTTGTAATTTTTAACTTTGAAAAAACTACTGACTGCCTGTGGACAGGTTTGTCATAGGTCACGCATTTATTCATTAATGCAATATTGTGGTATTTTGACAGATTCAATGATATTTTTAAAAGTTTGGATTCACTATAAATGAACTAGAGCTACTGTATGTAAGCACGACGCAAGTAAACGATTTTGGAGAAATTTCTTGCCGAATCTATATTCTGCAACAAAAAGGGTAAAATTTGTTCCTACGTTGTTGGCTTTAGACTCTAGATAATAGTGATAATTTCTCACGCTCTTCTTAGCGTTGATGGTGAGTATGCCTTCGTCGGACATGGCTACCACGACCGCGTCTGTGTTGGTGTTGGGAGGTAGCGGGTAGACTCTGTGGAACTGCTTGGTGGCGCCGACCTTTGCGTCGACCACAGCATTCAAGCCTTTGGTCCGCACGGTGATCTCACCCGACACGAAGTCCGACATGTCAAGCACGATCTGAGTCACGTAAAGAATTTTATATTCGAATAGGAGTAAATTATTTTTTGTGCAAGCTAATTTTTTCAACTAATGTTGGAGCTGGTCTCAGAATTTTTTTATGGATTTAAACGATTTTTTTAGGTATTTCATTTACTATTACGTTCGTAGTTGATTTACGATTTAGGAAATCATTGCTCACATACTTTCATCGTCGACCTTCAAAGACTTTGAACGGAAGTAGAATGCTACTTAATGCGTAAGCTAGTATATGTTGCAGAAATTTTTCGAATTCTTTCTGAATCCTTTTGAGTAGAGATTACGTTCATGTGATCGAGTGCCTGCAGCACAGTCACGTAGAAATTAATCAAAAAATTTTAAAGTAAAAATTGAAACAAAATTTATTATGATGCGATCGATAGATATTATTCGATTTCTTTTCGCGTTCAAACATCTACTCAATTTTAGTATCCACTCACGACATAGGCCTCGTGGGTGTCTGAAATGGAGGCGGCAAGAGAGTCGTCAGTCTGTGGCCCCTCTTGTCTGGCTTTCCTGTAGTTGCTGAACTGATTAGCGAGCAGCGACCGTCCGCCATATTTGTCGAGCACGTCGTGTACTGCACTGGAATAGTCCTGCTGGAAATCCCTGAAGAAATCGTCTTCAAAGAACTGCCCTCGGCGGGTGATGGGCAGGAGGCGCGCAGCCAGGGACATCGTGCGTATCACTGAAAACTTTCTCTGAGTCACGCACGACACACGACTGCAATCGTGCGTTGTAAATGAATAATATTTTGATTTTCAAGTAGTTAAATAGTAATATAGGGATTAAGCGACAGTTAAATTGAAAGAAAACTCGAGCGTAAGTGTTGGTAATGTCAGTTCTTCCCTTTTTATCGTGTTTCACCTTTAGTTGCCGTGTCTTTCATAAACCACTTGAAGATGAATAACTAAGCAAGCGTCATATGTTTGCCGAGTTCACAACTTTTCACGAGAGCATAGCAGCTTTTTATCGGTAAGACTGAAATATAATTCTAGCGTCGTAACCCGTTATGTGTCCACAGCTTCTGCGCGAGACTGAATGAAGATGGCTGCCCGCGCAGCTTTTATCTGAAGCGGTTGCCCGTTTTTGGATACGTGCCAGAGCTGCTGCAGTGTCTACTGAAATACCGATGTGCACTAGCTGGCTTGTTTACATGGCGCCATCCGTTGGAGGACGTATGATTCATCCTTCAGTTCAGTCACTGATTTTAAATTAGACTGGCTATGTTATATGCCGCCGGTCTCATTCCGTATATTTATAGTGCTTCCTTACACATATTTAGTCAATGAGTCAGCAATAATGCAGACGCATGACGATGCGCGTTAGTCGAAAAGATCTCTTATAGAGTGGAAGCATCATATATATATTTGTGTTTAAGCTGGTCTCGTTACAAAAACGTTCGTTACAAGATTTTTCCTGCATTAGAATACTTTTCACATGACAATGCATGTAAATTTCTGACGAAGTTTGTTTTTCGACCATTTTTAGAGCTAAAGCATTTCTTCTGCTGCATTCGACGCTTGCACTGACTAAATTGCGAATTAAAATTGTAAGATTAAACAATTTGCATTTTGCGCGACCATAAATTTTCAAAATCTGAAGAACAGTGCTACATAACTAGTGTTCCACACGACAACATTTCATGATGAAATTATAAGGCATCATTTCTGCTTGACTCCACGGAAAAGTTCTTTATGTTAGAATCCTGGAAATAAAAAATGGAAAATTCATTCGAACCACCAGTCTTACAATATTTAAGAGGTTTAGTGAAACGTATAATTTCCTTTGATTGAATGATTCTTACTTTCTACTCCAAAAATTAACTAATGTTATTTCATTCAAATAGCTGCGTAAGTTCATGTTGCTGAGAGTCTTCTGTCACCACGAGTCGATAAGCAAACAAAAGGATAATAAAGAACATGGAGTTAAGCGTTGAAAAGAACATAGCGTCAAACAAATGCGACTGTGAACTTCATGCAAATCACAAGCATTACGCGAGATTCACAAGAGACTTAGACACACGACGACGCAATGGACCAAGTGACGAATGGATGTCGACAATACAGGGTTAACATTAAGTGGAGTGGACAGGAATGCCTGAAATAAATAATAAAGTGAGGAGATATTGTTCCATGGGGAGTTGTAAGGAACGAAGAGGAAGGATATTCTCAAACTATTGAAATTAACTAAAAAGATGCCTGAGTATGAAGGTGTATAGTATATATATGGTGGTTGCAGGGCGTGCATGTGGCGGGATGAGGGGAGGGAGGATGTGCATGTGGCGGGATGAGGGGAGGGAGGATGTGCATGTGGCGGGATGAGGGGAGGGAGGAAGGGAGTGACGGGATGAGGGGAGGGAGGACGTGCATGCGGCGGGATGAGGGGAGGGAGGACCTGCATGAGGGGAGGGAGGACGTGCATGTGGCGGGATGAGGGGAGGGAGGACGTGCATGAGGGGAGGGAGGACCTGCATGAGGGGAGGGAGGACGTGCATGCGGCGGGATGAGGGGAGCGATATGATGCGTACTTGATGTGTAGTGAAGCGTAGAAATCGGTGGAGGACATCACAATAGGTACGATAAAAAATAAAAAAGACATCCTCTAGACGCTGAAAGTAATTTATGGATGGAAGAAAATTGGATGATAATAGCTACGTGTATGAAAGAACAGGGGATGGATTCTATACTCTTAGGATTACCGGTTTTGATACAGCAGTAAAAGTTTCGTGGATATTTTTTTAACAGCCAAATTTGAATTTAAATATTTTTTCTGCTGCAGCTGATCGATTCAAATTATTCGATGTCTATTTTGCTTATGTTACCACGACTCGATTCCGAAATCCCTCTGTAGTTCCCAGCCAAAATACAAAAACGTAAAAGCATGATGCAACACGATGCACACTCAATATTAAATGAAATATTACTAAAATGCCCTATAATTATACAATACGAAGCCAATTAAAATAAATAAAAACATGTAATTTTTGGCACGGTTGTTTCAGAAAATGAATAATGCACTGAATGTCTATTTCTTTTCAAGGTTGAGCAGTGACCGCACAACTCATTACATAACACAGTCATGCGTGCCAAGAGAATGCGAGGTACGAGTTGCCTCTTAGTTATTTTGTTTTTGTTTCAGACGTAAATCTTGGCAGTCTGCCAGAACATAAAGATATCATCCGCGTACTGCACTTCAAAGCACTGCAATGTGCTGCTTCTTTAATGAAATACAAAAAAGCTGCACAAATATGAGTAGTTGATGGTTTACAATTAAAACTAGAGTTTTGAGATGTCTAGCATCTGTGCAGGGAGATTCATGGAAGCTTCCTGTTTTGTATTTCGCCCTAAGCAGCCAGATGTACGAAAAGGGCGAGGAGTATTTCATATAAGACGCAAAGTAATTAAGTTTTGTGTCCCCCCTAGTCAGTTGCCACCATGCATTGGACAAGCGAGCAGCATGCGTTTGCTGTCGAGGCGTACTTTTCTAATGGCCATTCCATTATCGATACTCAACGATCATTCCGCATTCGTCCTTCAGGTAGGACTCAAGATCGGACCTTCTTTGGCCGGCCCTATACGCCATTTTAGCTACGTGCAAATTTTTTTATGGGGTTGTCTTAAATAAATTATTTGCATTGGCTGTTCAACGACGCTACCTCATTTGAAGAACAACATAGCCAAGCCATCGCCAATATACCCGTCAATATGCTTCAGCGAGTTGAACGGAACTTCAAAAATCGACTAACTGAATGCATTGACAATGGGGCCGTCATTTGTCCAATATCATCTTGAAAAGTAAGTAACACAAAATTTCAGGTATTATCGTTCTCAATAAAATATACTTTGTGATGACACCTTTACTAGTTATTTTTATCGAGCTTTCAAAAGCGTAAGTTTTCGCGAATCACCCTGTGTATCGTAACAGATTTTGCCTTCTATAAAATTTTGCGACGGTAAAATTAAATGGTCTTATTTTGGCCATATGTCTTTTATGTTTTGGTCAAGTTTATTACGAGATGCTTGAATTGTTTTTTTTTTACTTTATTACTTGAATATTAAATAATAAAAAATTCTAAATAGACTTGAAGTGACCAGCAAGGGGATATTCAATCAAACAGACTTCAATGATGCATTATTAGTGTCTTGTTATTGACTTATTGTAAATCATTCACGGAACTTATGCAGTTAAATTTTACTATAAGCATGCACTATCAATAATCCCAGCAATTTAGGGAACCCATTATCCTGAATCCTGATAAGAAAAAAAAACGATTCATGCAAATGTTATACAAAATCGTTCACCTAATTTTTCAAACAAATATTTAACGCCAATTAGACCCTCATGTCTAAATGTGAAAGAGCTATTCTGCGTCTGTCTTCCTAATTTATAAATACCGATTTGAAATTAAATTTTCGATTTAATTCTTTCCCTCCAGTTTCTCAATGCTTTACTATTCTCCTACTTTGAATTAATAAAATTTAAACAACTCCCATGTGCATAATAGCGACGAAAAATTAATTAACCTACTAATATTTAAATAACAATTATCAGGAACGTTATTTGAAAAATGCATCACATATATAAAATAAAGAAAATATAATCCCTTTTAAATCCTCATTAATTTTGAGACTTAATTAGACGGCAATGAATTTTAGAAACTTCATCACATGGCAATAACAGATCACAAACAACCTACAAGGTAAAAGTTAAGTCCACTCACCTAGCGTCACCACCGAGCGCCGAAAATGAATGTATATATTATTACTCTGGCGATACCTGCGGCGTCGCATTAATATTAAGTATAGATATTTTACACTTCATTCTGATAGTTTCATCATTGCTGGTGTTATGCATTTAGAAATTGCGTAAAACGGGCGTTTATACGTTTACGCATGAAGCGATGTTGACTAAAAAATTGACGACGCTCGGGAAGTGATTTGATACTAATGGGCTAAATATTAAAATGTGATAGAGTTATGCGCCAAGGAATTGAATTGGGTAAAACGGTGCGTTTTACCTTTGAGTTTGTTTGTTGTCGTGTGTCAAATACGTCACCGAGTCGGGACAAATGTCTATTCATTCAGCTATTGAGCCAGCGAATGTATTTGCCAGGACAGCTAAAAATGTACCTACACACAATGAATAACAAAATTTCGTTTTTATATATTGAAAACTTGCACCGACTACTGTATTAAATTCATGTTTGAAGTCCTTTGAGCGTTTAGCATGAACATGGTTAAATCAATAAAATGTGCGTGTTTAACCATGTCATTAACTTACACGAGTTATATATATATGGAGAAGTTGAAATTTGAAAATATTAGACAAAACATGTTGAATGAACAGCTTAAATTACACGCTGAAATTGAATATTGTATATACACAAGAAATAAATTTGATTGACATGGAAATTAGTGATCCAACTTCCCCTTGTCAGTCACAAGTTTGCTTACGATTCAAAATTGGTGCCACAATTCCAGTGCGTTACGTGGCACAACATTGCATGAAACCTACAAATATGATTTTTAACACTATAAGCTTCCCAATTTTTTAGTAAAAGGGGAAGAAATATCTTGACTAGTTGTGTAATAACATTTTCGGATGCATGTACTTTATACGGAAAATTCCTATAGAAATATGATTACAAATTTGTGACCATTGAATAATTGATGTGAAATAGTTTAATGATAAATTTAACACCTACGAATAACCCTGACATACTTATAACTTTAAATAAAAAAATTTCTATCAAATTTCCCAAAGTTCTCATTATAATTAAATAACTTGCTTATCCTACTGTTGTAAATAGAATGTCAGTTTTGTACTTTAGATGTCGCTGTGGTCGTGTCTCCAAGTTGAACAAAAACGTACATAGTTCGAAGTCGATGACCCAATTACGTTAGTTCACTAGTTGTAGCCGAGCGTTTAACCTGTGTTTGTGGCGAGGGATATTAGTATTCCCGTATTTTCTCGGTTAATTTAGCAGCGATGACTTCAAATAGTGCATGGCTGAGTAGAGCTGAGGATGTGGCAGATCAGGTAAGCTACATATTCTAGAAAAGGCATAATCTTAATTTTAAGGAACTACCTATCGATGAGGTCAAGTCTTTAAATATCTTTCCAAGTGAAGGACTCGTGCTGTCAGGATCAGGTGTCAACATCAACTTGTCAAGGACACTAATCCGAGTCAGGCACTAGGCATTCAATTCATATATTTTCTCTTAAAAATAGGAAGAAGTTGATCATAAAACTGTCATTCTGTCAATAAAATTCTTAATTAAATCAGCTACTGTGATAATAGTTGCCCATTGCCACTTTGCCAGAATTTGCTAGTTGGCAGTATTCTGCTATGGCACTTACCTAACTTGTAGGTAGGCTATGCAAATTGCAAAGTACTACCTACCTAAAAATCCCAGACCCAAGGTAAATTGAAATTGGCCTGTGCTCAAGTTCAATTTTGAGTCCTATAACTAGCCATAGGTAAGTAGACCACTAAAGTATCATGGATAGTACCTGCATTATCATACATAAGAAATTGGTTTAAATATTGAGTAAATGGGAAATTTAAAAATGAACTGATTCTAAAAAATCTCTGGTTTGCCAGTTTGCCACTATGCATCTTGTACCCCATAACCCCATTACCCAATCATCCAATGATATATTTCTGTTAGTTATAAATAGAAAGAAGGTATATAATTCATGTAGGTACCCAGAATCTTGTGGCTATGAAATTGTGGGAAAGCTCTAGACTGTCATGGCTTAAAGTTAAAGATGAATTCCATCTCTAAGGAGTGAAGAACATTCAATTTTCAACTGCAAAATTTCTTTTTAACAAATTATTTTGTCATAAATATCATAATTGTGCATGAATGTGTGCAGAGCTGGGCAGCGCTACTTTGAAATGTAGTGGCTGCTGCCCCTACTGCCACATGCTCTAAATGTAGCGGGCGCTACTGCTACAATTGCTTAAATGTAGCGCCACTACTGCTACTGAAAATGTAGTGGCCGCTACATGTAGCACGCTACTGCCCAGTGCCCACCTCTGTCCTCTGGTAACAACTAACATGTTGACACTAGTAACAGGCTGAGGTTGACAACATTACACCAAAATATTTTGTACAATTTTATTCTGTAATTTATATTATGTATGTATCATGCTGGTTTTCAAATAATATTTAATACTATTAAGTAAAATCTAAAAGCTTTATCTATAAATTTAGTGGTAGCGCTGTAGCGGCAACACCTTGTATCGCTACTTAAATATGTAGTGGGGACTGGGGGCTACCGCTACCACTTCAATTGCTTAAATGTAGCATTGCTACCACTACTGAAAATGTAGTGCGCTACTGCCCACCTCTGGATGTGTGTGTTCTTGAAGCCAGGCAGATAAAATCCACTGGGTCTGTTTGCTTTGCATGATTGGACTCATTGGAAACTTGAAAATTGTACTAAAGTATTTATGCTGCAAAAGCATTTTTTTGTTTTTTGACTTGATCAAAATTAAAATAATTGTTTACTTTAATTTTGCAGCATCAGTCAGTTGTTTGCATTTATTTGAAATCTCAAGGCTTAATCCTCTAGATTATTTATGTCTAGTAGGTTAGTCTTGCATCGCAAGAACTTGGTAATCCTTATGATTTTAGACCCCAGACTTAAATTTATCCCAAATCCTGTAAAAAAGTATATAAAAAATATAAAATCTACTGTTCACAAATTGAAGAAAAACTCATTGAAACCCATATATAAATGAGATATAACTCATCCAAAAGTAATCTCACAGCTCCAACAATGACAAAAAAGTCTGATTGCAGCTTAGAAAATTTAGAAACAATGCCTGAGCTGGAGCACATATATACCTACTTGATCTGAGAAAATCAGCTAAACTATGAAAGAAATATCTAATTTCAAGTCTTTTCATCCAACATGTATATCATGTAGATAACTTGATTTATTATCTCTTAAATTTCATCTTGATGCTATGCTCAATTGGGGCTAGAATGAAGCTTTCTTTAACAAATGGTCATAAGTTTCAAATTTATAAACTCTATTTGTGAAGGAGGCATTAGGGTGATAGGAATTATAATGATTGATTCAGTATGATTTGGCATTCATGATGCATGATAATGATTTGGTCCATGCCAAATCATTATCATGCTCAAATTCACAACATGCTCAACTCAATGGTCATGGTTTTGATAAGTTTGTAGATATATTTTATTTGTACATGAAACAACTTTGAAACACTAAGAAGCATTTGAACTGAATGAATTAAGCAGAATGATATCCTCATGAGTTTTTAGTTTCCCTTGTGTTTTATGGTTTCAATGAATAAGAAAGTTAGTACTATTTTTAATTCTTCTATTACAATTTTGAATTGTATTCTTTCCTTAAATCTTGTTTTAAATCTAATCCTTGTTTTCTTTTATCTAATCCTTGTTTACTGTTGTTTCCTGAGCAGTTCTTGCGCCTGAGCAAGAACTATCTGCCACATTTAGCTCGCTTGTGCTTGGTGAGCACATTTTTGGAAGATGGCCTCCGCATGTGGTTGCAGTGGTCAGAACAGCGCGAATACATGGACATATCTTGGAGCTGTGGCTACTTCATTGCCACATTATTTGTCTTAATTAATCTCTTTGGACAGCTTGGTGGAGTTGTCATGATCCTGCTAAGAAAAAAAGTCGAAATTGCTTGTGGAATTTTGTTAGGTATAGTTATTCTCCAGGTGAGTGTATAAAATGTTTGGCTGTGTCATGTAAACAATGCATTCATGAAAAGACACTAAATTGAGTAGAGTTTGATTTGTTTTGCAATATAGTTGGCTATATAGGGTAATTGTGCAATTTTTTACAAATCCTATTTCTGTTGTATGATGGAGATCTGATGTTGCAAGCTTCTCCTTGAGCTGACCTTTTTTTTTTTTTTTGCAGACAATCGCTTACCAAATACTGTGGGACCTCCAGTTCCTGTTTCGTAACCTCTCACTCATTGGTGGACTTGCACTGCTGGTTGCTGAAAGCAAAAAAGAAGCTCGCACCTTATTTGCTGGGGTGCCTTCTCTTGGCGAGAACAAGCCCAAGACATACCTCATGCTGGGAGGGAGAATTCTCCTTGTCTTCATGTTCCTCACTTTAGTCAGATTTGAATTTTCTGTTATGCAGGTAAATCAAAAACCCCTCTCAACTTACATCAAAAATACCTCCCATATATCATACCTTACAGTACGAAATTAAATCTTGACAATCAAATTTCAAACTTCCAGTATTTATGACATGCTATGTCATTCATCCTCTCCCAGTTTTAACTTTTTTTTTTGTTGAAATTATTTTATCATTTTATTTCAATTTAAATGTAGCTTGTATTTTGTATGAAACCCCCAACAATCATCACTAAAATAAGAGAATGAAGCTTCTGAATGGTTCTCATTAGCTTATGATTGGTTCAATGTGTCCTAACCTCATACTGTGCTTGTGCAGATGTTCCAGTTATTAATTGGAGGCATGCTCATGAGTCTCGTAGCTATCGGCTTCAAGACTAAATTGAGTTCCTTCGTGTTGGTCTTATGGCTTATGCTCTTCAATGTCTACATGAATGCATTCTGGACAATCCCTGCATACAAGCCCATGAGGGACTTCCTGAAGTATGACTTCTTCCAGGTGAGTCGCTTTTTATTATTGCATGCAGTTACTACCATTTGACATAGGTGTATCTTTCATCTTCTCTTCTGGCTGATCCCTAGTGCATGATATTTCAAATAGGAGATTAAGTTTTTTAGTCACAATATATTGAGAAAGTAACTCTACCCTACTAAGGAATTTGGTGTCTAATGCTCTATCTTGAGATGCTATGTCTGGCTGCAAATGTAAGTTGAGTTAATTTGCGTTAATTATTAACAATTTTGGAGGAGCTGATTAGAATGAAGTCGATCGTCAAACGTGTATCTCGACCAATTTAATAAATGTTTCTTGTTCGTTTCAGACGCTATCTGTGATCGGTGGCTTATTGATGCTAGTGTCACTGGGCCCTGGAGGTGTTAGTATGGATGAGCACAAGAAGCAGTGGTAACAGAGACCTCTACACATGCAGCTTTTCACACCAGTTCTACTCATCTCTGATTTCGAGTTTTATCAGTTAATCGAAGTGACGGTATCTTGCAGGCAAGGCTTGCTTACAAGTGTAAAAATGTCAGCCACTAAAACTCTTCGTTTCATCCAGGAAACAGTTATTTAGACTATGCTAATTATTGGATGTTAAATTTACTACAGAATTATATCAAAACTATTTGTTCAATTGTAATTCGTATTTTTTTTAATATATTCATCTTTATTTTGTATACTTGAAGTTAAATCATTTGTAATCAACGAAAGCCGTATGTCAACGTATAGCTGCACTCAACAATTACTAGATTTGGTGGGTCTGCTACGAAAATAACATTTAGATTTACTCAGCTTTGTAATAGATAACTTGCATCAATCCTACCTATCTGAACGCACAGGACGGAGGAACTGGTCTCATGTAGACTAATATATCACAACAAACACGGCTCACGTGCTGTGTGCTACGGCTGGAATCTTGTGCTCCGCTTTCAGGATTCTTCTCTTGAGGTTCGTGTGCAAGAATTGCGCAAAGGCTATCAACAATTTGTGCAGTCTTGTTAATGGGCGGGAGGCTAACATGTTCTGGAGCTACACCGCATTTTGGAGCTTTTGGCTGTTCCTAAGTTACGGACCGTATTTAGGAAGTTACGGACCGTATTTAGGGACTAGCTCAAAGTTTATATATAATTTCAAATTGTCAGGCCTATGTGACATCACTTCACTATTGTAGTTTGATATACCTAAACAATAATGGAAATACTTTGCCATGAGCGTTGCATAAACGTTGGTGAGTCATGCTATTAGTGTTAAAAGATTATTTTTCCCGTGAGAATTCTCATTTCTGGGAGGAATTTTCTTTCTATGTAAATTTCACAATCAAATTTGTCCCGGCAATCTCAATATTTTGTTGCTGCATTTATGAACTGAGCACAAGGTTACTGATATTATGTTTCTACCTTCGTTGCAATAAGTGATCTGTTTTGGTGCAAAGAGGCTATACGTGATCTGTTTTGATGCTGTGAGGGTAAACGCTGGCAAAGGATGTTGGTATTTATTGCTGAGGTTGATACTGCGAGCTATGAATTCCACTGCACTCGCTTCAAATATATTTATAAACTCTACACTCACATTGTCACTCAAGATCTTATTTTTCTTCTTAATGTGTTTGCTCCACAGAAATCTCTTGATTGCTGACATTCACATGCAACATTTATTTTTTCGCAGCCATTTAGCATCAAACTCTGGAAAATCCTTTATTACTCAATATTGATTTACATTAAACTGGCTCATTACGTTCCATTTATATGAATCTCATGTGCCGACCGCCATGGGGATTCTGAATCGTTGTTCTTGTGTCTGCCTTGAAACTGACAGCAATTCATGCCGATTTCATGTGTAATTTTCACTGTTTGCAGGTATGTAAAACAATTGGCAGTCTATAGACTTTTTTCGAGTGTACACTTGATGTGAGTAGAGTATGTGCCCTCGCTGTCAAAACTTTAAAAATATCCTCCGATTACGGACTGTAATTATACCATTCCTGTGCGTTTAACAGATCATAGAATTGCTGCACATAATTACATATGACGTTATTCCTAGCAATCAATACCAGCTGAAATCCCAGACTCGAAATGACTATTATATAATGTTGAAATATAGCGGTGTGTTGAATGTGTCATCTGGGAAGCCGGAGAGGAACGTTTGTGGTATCCGCGATACAATAAAAAAAATGAGAAAAAGTGAAAACCAAGATATTGTCTAAGTTGTTGCTGGTCGTGTCCTTTGCGACCATCATGCGATGTCCAGCTTCTTGCGTGTGCTCCTCCATCGTCTTCCAGGGGGATAGCGTATGTAAGCTGTTCATGGTTCTCTGTTGTTGCTCGCTATTCATTGAATGATGGTCCACGTACGTGTGTGGTGTTGCACGTACGTGGTTTACGAATATCATGTAAACATGTTTACAATTGTTGTTAGCATTTGTTGTCTTCACATATGTCCTTCACAAATGCTGTAAAACATACGTGGCTCACTTATTCGGTTCACACATGGGATTCACGTGCGATAGATGAAGTGAATTCTTACGAAATTCATACCTGACTGTTGAATTCAGAAACATGTCCGCTTGTCGAATATTAGCTATTCGTCATTAAGTTTGTTCTTGATATTCATGAATCTGATGAACGTGCCTAGTGCTCGCGAATTTGAATATTTATTTTGATGGATTAATAGATATATTTTTTGTTTTCTTATGTAACTAGTTGACTTCTATATTTTGTTCATCTTAATATATAATAAATTATATGTAGGCCATATTCAATGAAAAAAAATTATCACGTGTTCAACATGATTGGAGAATATTCCGATGAATAACTTATTATATTTTGATGAATTATGTTTTTATCTTTACGCAGATTGCAGGCTCACTAATTTTGTGTTGAATATTTTTGTTACAGTTCTTGCGTCATTCCCATTGAACGAGTTATACTTGTGACTAAAATCATTAATTTGATTTTTAGTTTCGTATAAATGTGCAGTTTCCCACTTCGACAAATTTTTAGATGAAATTTTTCACTCACTAAGTTTTTATTGTTTTTAGGTGTTCTTTTGAGGCTTTGCATTTCCTCTCTTCTGAATGTTGATGTCGGAAATTCACGTGTTCTTCATCTGATAAGTTGTAGAGCGGTTTGTTTTAATAGACGTTCGTTATCAGGTCTCAGATCTTCGTTATGATAATCCGGTATTTAGTTGTCTCTTAACGACCAGTAATGTTATTTCACTTCGCGATGTGTTGACGATTGTCAAATTTTAAGGTGTGAACTTTTATTATGCGCAATTTCAGCGCTCGCTGTCGGATATTTTTGGCTACTAGTAAAACGTCATCATGACTCTACCATCAAAGTGATCCTCCAAGAGCGCATGGTTTTTTTAATGTCTTGTGATGAGCTTCATCCTAAATTGACAAAAATTCTTGGAATTCATGAAATTCAACTCAGCTCCCCTTGGCTGAGTATGATTTACGTGGTACGAGTCTACACAAATAATACTTCTTCTTGTATTTCAATATTGCGACGCACGAGAGCTTCATGTTGAAGTATGTTCTAATCGATCATCAGCGAGCGGCATCATGTCAAATCACATGGTTAGTGTAACCAACTGGACGCTGTATACCGTGAATTATAGATGATGAATGACAAAATTCCTGGGCTAATCATCTGACGTACTTGACGAAGTTTATGGAATCGCTTATTGTTCTGTCTTAGAAGATCACATTACAGCACAAACAGGTGTTAGCATCAGCCGAAAATTGATCGTTGTTAGCGATAGATCAGCGTTTGTTCTGATAATTGAGCGCTGGAGTACTTGAGAGTATTGCCATATTTCTGACATTGTTGAGTGTGTGTTTGATATGGTAGTGATGACGTCTGAATGTTGTGGGTGGTGAAGGGTGTGCTATTCTACGTACGACTTACCTTGGTGTTATTTTTATACAGTCTACCACGTAAGACCTTAGATTATTAAAATCTACCTTCAGTTTTAGCGCACTCCTTTTTATTTCGTATTGAATTTTACTACTGCTTGCAAATTACAACTGCGCATTCATAATTTTGGTTACAAAATGACATTTTAAGGAAAAATCTGTAAAATAAACTGATATTTTTCTGGGTACTTTTTGTCCAAATGTAAGTGTGAATTGCTTCTGACAGCACGTGGCGAAGAGGGCGTTGACAGCGCACATGACGTGATACAAAATTTGGTGAGGCCAAAACATGACGGTGTCGCTTTAATCTTGGCCTACTTTCAGACGAAATCTGTCCAGTAACATACTTCAACGTTAAATCTTGTTAGAAAAAACCATTAGGAAAAAAATCATAAACCATTGGAAGGGTTGTAAGATAAGTTAAGTATTAGCACATCACCTTTTTTAAATGTCTTCCATAAACCCGGTAAAGAGCCTGGCTCCAAAAATAAAATTGTACTTGCGATGATGTCACAACACGCCTTGAAACAGGCGGGATACTAAGTCGAATCTTTGATGTTGGATACAATGGAATTAGAGGTGAAGTGTAGCGTAGATTGTTCATGGTTTGGACTGGAAGAATAAAACGGTTGTAGGACCCTGATGCTAAAAATGAACTGAATGTTATTTAAAGTTTCAACGTGTGCTTCTTTAGTCTTCCGTGCCATCGAGCGCTGTAGGGCTTTGAGTGTCACGCGAGCCTGGAGGAATGCGCACACTAACTGCAATCGATGCGTCACGCAAGGCGCCAGTGTCTCGCGAGAAGCCGTCAAAGAAAGACGTGTAGGAGATACCGTGTTGGAGTGAACCTAGAACTGAATAAAAATAATACAAATGGTGAGATAAGAATTGGCATGGTTTTATTTGCTGTTTGGCTCGAAAAGATTATATTAGAGTTTGATATTTGATCCTAGCAGCATTTGCTGTGGTGGGTCTTACATTAACGACGTAATAAAATAATTTCAGTTCATCTTTGAATAAATCTTGAACTATATTTTTAAAAACAACTCGGGAAAAGTTGTTACCCAACTTGACATTGATTATTGTTATTAAGATCGGCTGAGAATACGTATAGGTATAACATGAATTCAACGAATGATTAACGATTTTTAGCAGCAGTTTCGCTAACGATTTTCATGACACTTCCGCTCTTGATTTGATCTCAAGTTTTCTCCACGAGAAAAATTATGAGAACGATTATTTATTGATGAAGCCCTACCGATACACCTGTTAAATTTATTCGTATCGCCTCGCTAGCAATGGAAGTGTTATAGTTAGTTTAGTTTCGTGGCCACATGTTTACTAGCGCTTCAGCTATTTAGCTATCTCGCACCGAAAGTCAGGATGAACATCAAAGAGGTGGAAGGTCTCAATTATCAAAAGTTTCTCAAATCAAAAATTGTCCATCACCCACGAGGGGCGGGAGGTCTCAGATGTCCAGCCTGCTGAAGCTGGCTTGGAAGAAGCAGCGTTAGCATCTCAAAGAGACGAAGTGACAAGGAGGGACAGGTGAAAAGCAACAGAAACGAAGGCACTCGAACAAGAAGTCGCTTACACGGGACATCGGCCACCCGCACTAGAGACAGAGAAGGGAAATGTAAGCCGTAAGGAATCCTACCTACATAATAACTTAATGTAAGGAATCCTACCTACATAATAACTTAACCCCACGACTGAGACTTGCAGTCAGTCACCGCGAGCTCAGCGGTGGGGCGCTCAGGAACAATCCCCCTAGGAGCGCGAAATCCCATAGGACTACTGACGGGCACAGACACACGTCGGAAGTCCCTCCTGAGGAGTGGAAGTGTCATAGATTATCATCTTATTGAATAGTTCATATTGCGTCAGGAGTCATTCACTTGTTTCGTTGCATAATTCATGATTGTATTAATAGTAATTTACTTTCTCTTCTGATATGAATATCGCTACAAGCTTTTAAATAATTTGCCTGTGCCATTACATACGTATTCATGGTTCTCCGACGGATCCCTGGCTCGAAGTTGAACTGGGTGAAAAAATAATTTTTTTTTGCTTTGATGCTGTCACTACACGAGTCTCGTCGTCACTCTAAGCTTACTATGCAGTAAACATGAACTTTAAGAAATATAATTTTCTTCTATGAATTATGGAACAGTCAAGAGACAATCTTGATCGTTACATAAACACGAAATTGATGAAGACCTTATATGATACGTTAGTCGAGAAAAATATCACCAGTTATGAAGCGAGTTAACAAAGTACGTATTCGAGGGATTCGTGTGGACGTGTTCATGAGCAAGTGCAGTCTTTTAGCGAGTATTGTTCACATTTGCTATGATATTCCGAATATCGTGAACAACGGAATAAAGAAAACTTCATTGAGTGATCGCATTGATAAAATTGCAAAGAATCAAACGAGTGTTCATCAGCGATAAAGTTTTATCTTCTTTGCTGGCGTAAGAATCTAACTTCCATGTTGTAAACAACATTCAGCCAACTTTTGTTCAACCGGATGAACGTATTTAAAGCGCATTTGTGTTCACAAATGCAATGAATATTTGACAAACTAATACGAATGAACTTTATTCAGATCGATGTGGCAGCACCAGGGATCTTTTTATAGCTGCTAGACTTCATCAATAACTAAGGAGATATCGAACCACTCACTTCACCAAACAACATAACTCAGTTTGGTTTTCTATTCATTTCTTAATTATACACTGATTAATTACAATCAGAATTCTCTAATTCATTTTGTTATTATGTAATTGCAAATGCAGCACTGGGGAAATTAATAATCCATTTGTTCCATGTTTTTTTTATTATGTGTTTATATCTTCATTCAAAACATGGGAATGTTGATTTTAACGTCTAATATGTACATCAGACAATAAATTACGGGTTCAATGTATAAAATGGGTTCAAACCTGCAATGATCAATTAAAATTTATCCCAGCTTCAAAAAAATATCTTCCCTACTCTAGTCCAAAAAATTCGACACCCGTTGTTATCGAGAATGACTCACCAGACCCAAATTACAGTGCGGAATCTAGAACTCGGAACATCAAACAGAGTAATTTAAATGAAACATTAATCATCTCCAAGCAATAAGAAATTAATAGAGCTTGCTCATTTACGCATTAAATAATAATGCACGTTCATTGCACGCGAGACGGCTCACCTTTGACCTAAAAGCCTCCGCGTATTTGGGTCTTTTGATCAATACGTCGCCGCCTCACTGCAGCCCTTGACACGCAGGCTGGTTGCAGGGAAAGGGTTCATAATGGGAGGGGATGGGCGGCTTATGGGATGGGACTTAATGGGTGACTAATTTGAAGACAAATCACCGGTGACCAATATCATTTCATGTGTTGGGTGATTGATGGGATGGGACGTGACATGGGTGACTAATTTGAAGTGAAGTAACGGGTAACAAATGTAATTTAACGTGATGAATGACATGGGATGGAATGTAATAGTTAGCTAATCAGGTGGAACGTGGTATCTAGCGTGAAGCGACGTGATTAGCCTCTTTTGGGGTGAGAGACGAAATGGGGCCCTAGAGTGAAGGAACGTGATGGGTGTGAAGGAGTGAAGGAATGTGATGAGAGTGAAGGAACGTGATGGGAGTGAAGGAACGTGATGGGAGTGAAGGAACGTGATGGGTGTGAAGGAGTGAAGGAACGTGATGGGTGCTAAGTGCAATGCGCTTGAATTTTATGAAGCAACGGCAATCAAATGACGATACCGTGCGCCTGCTTCAGACTGAAAATTTAATTTCTCTTACACATTTTCCTGCTACCTTGCACAACATCGATCAGAAAAGAGCTATAATATCGTTCTGTACCTAGAGTTTTCGTTTAAAATTTTGTGAGGATTCTAAAATTCTCTACAAACCGGGGGGTGGTAGCTGAATGAAGTGAATAGGCATGCGGTTGTACAGAACAATAACTCTTGGCCTCGTCTACCAATTCTGCATCATACTTTCAAAATTTGCTTACGTACACGAAGTGGTCGATTTCTCGTTTAATATTTGGGTTTGGATTAAAAAGCCATCATGTTATTGGCTGATTGAGTATGATGTATGGAGTATGATGTAGTGATTGAGTATGATGTATGATGTATGATTCATTGGCTGGACTCTGAGTTTTTTCGAGATTTACAGTCCTAGATGTAAAAGTAAAGCTAGGTCATGCGGACAAAAAATGTACACAATTGTAATCTTAGATCAGAGCGGAACCTCTGGGCGGATTTATTTTTTTATTCCCGAAGAAGGAACCAAATTTAAAATTAATTGTCAACACTGCATGCAGATTAACATTCAGAAATTAGTTCATTGATAACATTCGAACATTTTAGGGATATTTACAGAAGTAGGTCAAAAGTATTGCAAAGTACAATAAACTATTTATTATCTTACCATCATCCTCGGTTGAAACTCCATAATATTATTGCCTTGACATGAGTTTCTTAATCTGAGACATTTTAAAATTAATTTTACCTGTATAAAATCCGTGCGAGTCAGAGCCATGGGTCTAAAAACAGAAAATAATATGACAGAAGAGGGCTATAGTTAAAACAAATGGAATTTTCAAGTCATGAAAAACACGCATGTGCAAATCCAGCACAGACAGGCGATGTGACTTACAGCTAACAAAGACATGTGTTTATATTCCTTCATAAATGGCCGTCTGAAAATCACAAGCGCAAAACCAATTATGTTACTCAGCTTTAGCTAAGGTATTCACCGGTTTATTTTTATAGCATGATAATTTAGATCTGCTTCTGACGGGTGAAAGATGCAGAAGTTTAATCAAAAGAATCTCACTCAAGTTATGGTACGTTAGACAATGGACATTGTACCGTGTAATAATATTACTCACTCCATTATTTTCGAAAAATTGTTAATATTCCGGAATCATCTAGATCAAATGCCTTGGATGGAACATTGTCACAGCTGCCATAACCCGGACAGTATTTATCGGCATTTAACACTTGCTACGAAAAAAGGCGATTCCTCGTTGAGAGCTTAATTACGACCAAGATGATCACAAGATAACATATTGTTTAGCTAAGCCGAAATAACCCAGTGTTGAATTACAAAACGATAAAATTAGAAAATTTAGATGTATTGTTCAACAAACTTTCAAGCGAGCGATATACACCGGCCTTGCCTTCATGTTTATGTTTTCCTGGCGTTCAATCGTTGCCAGGCGATAGCCGGGAGACAAGAGGTGGCTGGGAGACAAACGATGGCTGGGAAGCAAGCGGTGGGCCGGTGACAATCAATGGCTGGGAGACAAGCGATGGCTAGGAGACAAGCGGGAGCCGGGAGACAAGCGGTGGCTGGGAGACATGCGGCGACGGAGACATATGGGGTGGCCCGGTGACAATCGATGGCTGGGAGATAAGCACTGGCTGGGAGACAAGCGATGGCTAGGAGACAAGCGATGGTTGAAAGACAAGCATTGCTGGGAGACAAACTGCGGCTGGGAAAGGAGCGATGGCTGGGATGCAAGCGGTGGCTGGGAGACAAGCGTGGGCTGGGAGACAAACAGTGCATGGTTGGGAGACAAACGATAGCAGGGAGACAAGCGGTGGCTAATAGACAAGCGGTGGCTAATAGACAAGCGGTGGCTAAGAGACAAGCGGTGGCTGGGAGACAAGCATTGGCTGGGAGACAAACTGTGGCTGGGAGAGAAGCGTGGGCTGCGAGACAAGCGATAGCAGGGAGACAAGCGGTGGCTAGGAGGCAAGCGGTGGTTAGGAGACAAGCTAAGGCTGGGAGACATGCGGTGACAGGAGGTGACAGGGAGACATAGGGTGGCTATGAGACAAGCGGTGGCTGGGGGACCAGCGCTGGCTGGGAGACAAGCGGTGGCTATATACTATATAGTCAAACGGTGGGTGGGAGACAAATGGTGGCAGGGAGACAAGCGGTAGTTAGGAGACAAGTGTTGGCATTATGCATCCCATGACAAGGAAGTATATGAGGCCATTAATTTGGTAGTAGTGCGCAGGCTTTTATTGTTCACTTAAATATCGTTGTTAGTCTTTTATGTATGAATGATTTGAGTCGTCGGAAAAAAAATGTGTTCGCGTGAATTGTGCCCGGCGTGAGGCGACGGGGATCGATATGTTGACCTTTGAATTTAAGTCAGCAGTACATCAACATTTAAATTTTTATAAAATAAATAACTTGAGTTACATGAAGAAGGTGGAAAGAGCTATTGTAATGCATGAAATATGTGCGGATGGATCATCGCAAGAAACTGCAATTTTTCGTGCAGCAGATTTAGTTGCGGAAAATCAGGAGAATTAATGTTAAATCGAATAAATTGAAGAATCATAACTCAATGCGCTGCATTATTAATTTTTACTTGTCATGAAACCGCGTGGCAAGTTGTGTCGATGTGTGTTGTGTCCGAATTATTAATTATGATTTGTGTGTTGAGTCCGAATTATTAATTATGATTTGTGTGTTGTGTCCGAATTATTAATTATGATTTCGAGGTGACACATCTTGTCCCAAGGTCCCTGTCCGGCTCTCTGCCAGTCATTAAACAGTGTTACGATTTATTAATCAATTCTCATAATTCTCATTGTTAAAATAATGAAGATTTGTTAAATTAGTTTTCCGCAATAGATTTTTGCAATGCTTATTGTCGCATGCTATGACAAAATTATTTGACCAGCCAGGCTAGCCAGGTGAAATAAAAACCTTTTAGTAATCGAATTAACTTTACGTTTTTTACTTCCCATTAGTCTTTAAAAATCGTCAAAATGAAATTTCATCTTTTATAATCCAATCTATTTTCTCAGGACTTTCGCTGTACATTTTTCGCAGAATAAAAATCCCCTGCCACTGATTTTTTACTTGATCACTCGGTCCCTTCAGATGAAAAGTATTATTATTCTCTAAATGAAATGAATAATATATGAAAAATATTTAAAAGGATTGCTATTATCTCCGGATGGAGTGTGGGGTGTGTTTCCACGTGTATGACGAAGACAGCCGACGACCTCGGTCGCTGGGTTGCGGGCACACCTTCTGCTCATGCTGCACGGGCGAGATGATCAAGCCGGGCAAGGGTCTCTCGTGCCCAACATGTCGGACAGTGCACGACGTAACTCAGATTATTCAGGTGCCTGTGAATTACAGTCTGATGGAGATATTAAAATTACTTGAGCTCTCCGAAGACAACTCAGAGCCTCGGCCTAAGGAAGAAACGGAAAATTTCCCTCCCCCAAGCGCCCCAAGTCCCGAAAATTTACCGGGTGACCGATGTGAGACCCATCATCAGTCGTGGCAATACCGATGTGTGCCTTGCAACCAGTGGATGTGCAAGGACTGCTTGGTAATTGAGCACCTAGACAGAGGCTGTCGAGTTATCTCATCAAAACAGGCCCTCGAGGAAATGATGGAGAGTTCTAAATCAGAAGTTAAGGACCGGTTAAGCTATTACGAGTCCCGCCTGACCCGCATGAGACAATACGATTCTGAGCTCGAGATGCATTTGCAGAAACACGAGAGCCAACTCAGAGGTCTGGTCATGATGACAGAAAGACAACACAGATTTGTCAAACTTATCCAGGAAGAAAGAGAAAGGGTTGAACGAGCCATAAGGGATGGCAGCGAAGCCAAGCGACTTCTGGAGGTTTGTATTCTGCGATCGGAAACCAAGTCCCAAGAAGAGTTGACCCACGCCCTCGGCAACACGCAGCTCTGTGACGCCCGCTTGCAGGATTGGGTGTCAAGCTGCCTCGTCGAGTTTAATCCGAGCGGCAGGAAGAACAGATCCATCAAGGTAATATTGTTGATCTACGAACTGATTTCAATTGTTATGATTGTGATTATTCTATCTTGAAATATATTCAAAGAACTTATCATCTTCTCGAAGACATTTGTATTCCAAAAAGGAATAGTTGAGTTGAGATATTATGAACAATTATTACGTTGATCACAATGTGTTTGAAAGGGTTATCAGTTTAGTTATGGTATTCAAAATCCAAAATATTGATTTAATACTCTACAAGAGGAGATTCATGGACAGCCTTCGCTTGATTAGAATGTTGCTGATTGTGCTTTGAAGCACAATATAAAAAATTATCTCATGAGGGTCATTGGAAAATCACATTAAACTCCATCCCCCAACTTCTTATTCAATTTCGGTTAAAATTTACTTTATGGCGCTACAACAGATAGACCAATACAATTCAACTTACTTATCCGAAAAAATTTTGAAAAAGCAACTGATATCGACGGCATCAGCGCTACAGCTGATCAGCGGCTGCAGCGAGGAGCTCGACAAAGAGGCGAGTAAGGGCGTCTACGCCGTCCTCGACACGGCCAAAAACGAACAAGTGAGTTCAGAGCGCTAGTTTGTTTTAAGTCGTTTCAGTAGCAAAGGTTCAATAAACCTAAAGAACAAGGTGAATTAAAGATAAATAATGTTTTAGTACAACGAACAAATGAGCCGTATTTTCTTAAAACTTTTTTGAATTGATCTGTATAAATTTATGATTAATGTGAGATTCGATTCACGAGATGACGGATAAGACATGAACAAATTCCGAATAATTGAGTAATGCCACAGTTGGGTGGTATTAGTAGAGTACAAACTCAGTTATAAAGGCTGGTAACCACTGCTGGAATGTGGAAATGTTGGAGTCAGCATCAATTATAACATAAGTTACATAACATAACATAGTGATGTCAGCGCTGCAATGTAGGCCTGATGTGGCCAGTCGCCGATTCTTTTCCTTTTCGTGCCTTGTTCACAGACGATCTAAAATCGTGTCATTTGACCGGATCTTTTCATGACTGACGATAGAGACTCTGTAACGTCAGTTACAGAGGGTCTCATTGCTGACAGCAATAACAGAGTAATATTACCTTTTCTCGTAGGTTCGAGGGTACAAAAGCCCCAATAACATCAAGTATGGACGTCTGTCTCTCTCGTACGGCCACATCCTCCTGCACGCACTGCAGACCAGCAGCCCGCCAACCAACGCTCTGACTGTGCCGGTATATCGTCTCACTCGAACATAATAATTTCAATTATGACTCCAAAATTATTTACCACAATGGGTTCCTTTTTAGAAATATTGTTAATCGCGATGGGCATGGCTAAATGAAAATACTAGGAATAATAATTTATTAATTTCACACGAAATTTTTGAGAATACCGCAAGGGGGTAATTTACTAATTTTAACCCAAGTTCAGAACCAGCATTCTGCCAGGTTCGGACCTTGGAGCAGATTGATTACCTCACAAAGGAATGTTTTTTGATCGAATATTCATGGTAGTGTATGGTCTTTAGTTGCTTTACCCATGCAGTAATGCTTTAATACCTAAATCATGTTATTGTTGATTTGTAAGATGATTTTATCGGTTGGTCCAGTTTGCAGTACTAGCTCCAGTTATTTTACTGTACATAAGCGACACTGCTGGCCACTCACCTGCCACAATATTTGTTCACAGTTCGAACAGGTACGAAGACTGGTGCCGGTAGATTCACCTGTGGTATTTCTGAACGTGGCAGTGTCAGGCAAGTACTTGGGTCGTCTGTATCTTCGCCTGCTGGGGGACACCGAGAGGGCTAGGCAGTTCCTGCAGCTGTGCACCGGGGAGCGAGGGCCCTGCTACAGGTGCGGAAAAAATTAATTAAACATATCGAAATTTTCCGAGGTCGAGGCAGTTCTTTCTGGTTCAAGGGGGATATTAATCTTGTAAAACTTGTTTTTCGATCAACTTACCATTTGAAATTTAAATGAACATTAAAATATTTAACTAGCGCTAGTAGGTAGCAGAATAAGAACTAAACAATTTTTTATATATGCGTCACTAACATGTAAATAGATATCACGAACAAGACCAAAGATAATAACTAAGCACTCTTTTCTGCAGATCTACGAGGTTCTTCAGTTTACAGAGGCCTGGGGAGCCAGGGGAATGTTTACTAGGAGGGGACTACGACAGAGGGGATGGCACGGGAGGGTTTCCTCTCCTCGAGGGGTTAGGCCCCAGCAGTGAATATCGAGCTTCAGTCAGAGAGGGGCTGGTGGCGGGCAGTAATGGACAGCATTCGGCGCTCTTTGGCATTTTCCTCAAGTGAGATTTCTCCACGATCTTTATATTTTTTTCATTTCACGTGTAAGGCAAAAAGAATTTTCTCAACATTGATTTTGATGAGGTTTGAAGTTTGAGTTAAAGTAACCGTTCAAACGTAAGCACGAAAGAGTAAAGTGTGGAGCATGCAGACGGCAAGTTTTGCCCAACTTCACACTTCATTTCATGTCCCTTTCCGTGGGTAAGCATGCTAGAGGACATAGCCGCGTATGAAGTGAGTCGAGTTTTTTTTGTCGACTCCACAGCCACTGCTAAAGCATGCTAAAGCTAAATACTGTCATATTCTATCTGGTTTAACCTACTCACGTTGCAAAATGTTTTCACCTAAAACAAACCTGAGCCGACCTAACCTCATTCGTCGTAGGAAGCTGGGCAAGCAAGGTAGAGTCAGTAATTGAATGTAAGACAGTTGTGAGTCGGGGCAGCACTAATAGTTCACAGGCCAGAAGTTAGGCCGGATGCAGAACTGTCTGCTTATGCGAGCATGCATCAGTATTGCCTGAAGATTACCGGCGCTATTATTTTTAAGCGCTGTTGCTCCGTGTGATTTTCTTTATGGGGTTATCTTAAATCAATTGTTTAGAATACTGTCCAAGGACCCTACCTCATCTGTAGAACAATATACGCCAAGCCATCGCCAACATGCCCTTTAATATGCTTCAGCGAGTTGAACGGAACTTCGAAATTCGACAAACTGAATGCATTGACAATGGGGCCGTCATTTGTTCGATTTCATCTTTTAAACTAGGTGATACAAAAATTTAGGTAATTTATTTTTTTAGATAATTTATATTGTAATGACATCTGCAATAGTTTTTTTATTGAGCTATCAAAATACGATGCTTCCACGAATCACCCTGTACATGCTAAAGCTGGGCGTCTGCTCCAGCACTGAGCATATTTAAGAGTTACAATTGTGACAGAAGGCTGCGCCCCCCGTTCAAGTTATTGTCCACCTCTTACATCAGTTATGAAATTTCTGGTGATAAGCCACAATAATTCGGTCATGAAGCGTTTTAACGCAAATGAACCAAGACAAGGTAGTGAATGCAGTTCGACTGCCCACTACCGTAACTAAAATTTTCCCTGACTTGAACGAGTTACATTGCATATCAGTTCAAAGATTATATTTTCAGGGACTGGTTGGGAGTGAGCGACACCGCAATTGGACACGTCATCAAGAACTTAGAACTGCTGCAGTCCGTAGCAGCTACTGGAAAGTTCAGACAGCTGCAAGTTGTCGATTGTGGCTTGGTCGTGCCTGTGTAGTAATTAGTGGAGGTCAAAATAATTCCTATAAATTACATCATAATTCTAGGTAAGCCAAAACATTACCGATCTGATGAAGACTGTACAGCTATCAGTAAACTTTGATTTGTAAATATCTACAACATACTCCCGATAATCAGCAATGTAACTGGTAAAAAATGTTGAAAATTTTTGTCCAAAAAGGTTTTAGATATATCGACGTCTTTCAGTGTTCCGTTTGCATTGAACTGTGCAAGTTTGTGTCGTTTCACAAGCTAGTCATTTCTCTACTCGTACTATAAAAACTTTCGGTAGACCCTCTGAGTTCTTTTCAGCTGTGGAGTACAGGAACACTCAATCCAGCGTGAAACGCTTTCTGAAATTTCTTCAATACCGAAAGTTGTGGGATACGTACATAAAGTTTCAAAACAATAAATTCATGCATAAACTAATAAGAATTTTAAATTTTTATTTTCAAGCCAATAAGAACTTTAAATTTCTATATTCAAGTCAACAAGAACTTCAAGTTTCTTCTTAAACTGCGCTATCTTTCAGGCATGAAGTTCAGGAAGTTACGCGTTTTTACGAAGGTTAAAACTTTCTTTTGGGTATCATCAGCAGTAGCATTTCTCAAAGCTAGATTCTTTCCGTCTCAAATTCGTCCTAATTGCGGCAGTGAGAGGGAATGAAAATTGTCATATTGCTTTCACGATGAGATCGCAAAATTTCAATGGTTCAGTCTCAAGGGATATAATATGACCACACTGCAGTGTTCAAAAGTCAAACCTATAGAAAAGGTAAAGAATAACAGATCTACTTCAATATAATTTACTAATTACGTTTGATTAAACAAATAGTCGACATGAAGACACTGCACGAACAACTATAGCAAGAGAATTTCATATCAACACAACTCTCTTCAAAAGCACATCTAGAAGATATTGTACAAAAGAAAAACAATATACAGAAAATTTGATTAGTGAAATAACAAATAAAACTCCTAACAGCAGAGTACTAGCGCACTCACGACGGAGGCGCTTAAATTCATACGATCTACCCTGTACAGCCCGAAGCAACGCGTTCGTCTCGGCTGGTATAAACTACCTACAAGCATAAATGAAATAGCATGGCTTGTAAAGGGTAGATCCTTACATCACGAGGAAAGCGACCCAACGCTTCCACGAGATTGTTGCCGTAGAGACAAACTTCTTCAAGGTGCACTACTTACAGACATTACACTATATATCAAGGAACAGGAATTGATGACTGTTGGCTGTCTTCATCAGATTTTTAGAGGCGGATGGATGTGACGAGTTTTTTTAGCGATCGTTAATAAGGTAGTTATAAGCGTACCTGTAAGTCATCTGGCAGTACTGGAGGTGGGTAGCGATAGATGATTAAATACACTGAAGTCATATTGTCCAGGAACGAGCATCTCAAGGCGATGATTGAATTGCACTGTGAACTTCATGGGTCTTAGGAGTTGATCTGCAATGCGTCGACTTCAGGAACTTTGGACTTCGAGGAAGAACGTTGAATGTCGCAATTGGGAGATCTGCAACTTGCACGACAATCTTGCTGAAGAAATATCTTCCTGCAAAAATAAAATTAGGGCTTCGGCCCAACTGAGGACACGAGGCACGTGAAGAAAAACTGTCAAAACTGATAACTTGGACAATAAATTTGAAGAGTAGCTTGTGAAGCGATTGTGATCCTCTTCGCAACCTAGTTCACACTCACAAAATTCTTGCAAGACACGGGGGAATACGTTGTATAACACCTCAGCTGAGTGTATAAAATCATGTGTAGCAATGCGTAAGGCAATGAGTGTAAAATGTTCCATTTTCTTTAGGAAGAAACCTTTCAGCTCGTCATACATACCATCTCATAAGTTGAATAGAAGAAACTGAGTTGACGTGTACACAAGTTCGAAATGACAGATGAAGCAGTGGCATGACTTAGACTAACCCAAGTAAGGGACGTAAGCTTCTAAAAATGCAATGCAAATCATAAGGCAAACGTTTGGTTTCTCATATTTTTCATGATCGAAAGATTTTACTAGCAGCACTGCCTAGGTTCTGTGCTTCTCTAGAAATGGGCATTCCATCCGCCGTTAAAAGCTCTGACCATCGATTTATTACTTCTATGTGCACAGGCTGATATTTGGAAGTTATCCGGTGTATTTATCCAGAGGTGCCTACATTAACTTCAATCAATATCCTATTTTTATACAATGGAGCAGTTATACTTTGTTTTCCAACTTGGGTATTTACAAATGGACGCGTAAGTGTTACAGGATATCACTCAGGATATAACAGCATTGTTCACTCGCATTTACACGAACAACTAATTAAAACTCATTGGACACGGTTGAAATATTTCCCAATAAAACCAGTCCTAATGAACAAATCATTTTAAAGTCATTATGTACATCACCAAAACTAGCATAGCAGAAATCAAGATAGTTCAGAAATTATGTCACAACAAACAGTCAAAATGCGTTCCCTGAAAAGTAGTTCAATCAACAAATTCCAGTTACAACTTCAAAATGAAGGAAAATACAACTTCAAACAAAATATCAACCGGGTCGACATTTTTAGCGCATTCTCTCATTTACGGAAAAAAGGCGCTATTGTGCTCGGCATGTCCGTCCGTCCGTGACTTCACGGACGGACGAGAAAATGCGCTATTTGTCACTCACTGCAATGAGTACTGATTTAATTTTTTACTTTGATGCCAGAGTTTAATAATAACTGTAAAAATGAATTATAACGATTTGCCGAAAATTATGTAAAGTTTCAGTGTGAATCCACCCTTGTCCCTCGAAATTTTTTCATGTAAGACCAGTTCTGGAAGAAAAAACTAAAACTTTATTGCTACTAAAATTTCACATCGAAGCATCACGTTCGAGCTAGGAAACTTGGCGTTGATCCACATCAACACATTGACGATCTTCTGTATCGGAGAAAAGGTACATCACAAATATTGTGATGCGCTTGTGAGGTATCCGATCTAACTTTACAGCATTGAATTAGGAGAAAGTGTTTCGAACCACTTGCTTCGCGCCAACTCAAGACTAGCTTCACGAATTGTTGAACTCTCTCAGCATTGACAGTGCACATGGAGCCAAGTATTTACCCAGGAATATAGTGTCCTAAGTTTCATTTGACGCGCTTCTTGCCAATCCTGGGAGGTAATTGCGAAATGGCGTTTAAAAGGCGGCATGAGTAGCACAGAACCGGCAGCGCTACAAACTTAGAAGTGCAATCATCTGAAGATAATATTTTCCGATACTACTGAGTTTTCTCAAAGAGCTTGCCAACCAAAATTAGAAGGCGTTGAATAAATGAGGCACGTGATTCTTCAGTCATGTAGAGATCACAGTAAAGATGCACATGGATGTTGCGAGACGGTGTACCTGTTGATCCAAGTCGCTTTATGAACTTGGATGAAACAAAACGAGCCGAGTTTGGCCAGCTAAAGAACTGACAAAATGGCCAGGCGTAAATTGATGCAAACATTTAGATGTAGTGGTGAGATGACCATCTAGTCGTCGACAAGACAAATTTGCGTTGTATGTTGGCACCAATTCTTGTAGCATGATGGCAAAGTGATAACGAGTAACAATGACGTGTGACTAAAGTAACGAAGAAGCGCGTTTAAGCAACGAGCACAGTATTTTTGCAGTCGATTTTAGTCCGGGTGTGGTCGGTGTACTTGGCACCGACCGTGTCGGCAAACTTAGGCCAGGTCGCTTCATCTAATGCGAGCTGCTGCTTGACATAGTCGCACGAGATACTACCGGGCCGGTAGCTAGGGAGAAAAGGGGAACGGTTATTGCAACAGAAGTGGATTGGATTATCAATTTGTGAAATTATACATTACCCGCACACAACCTCTTTAATAGCAATTTATAGCTGATCAATCTGATAATACAATTACTATCCTAAAAATACTATCCTTATAAATACCTTCTACTATCCTTATAAAAAACCTTCCCTTACAACTGCTTCAACATAGTAAAAAAGAACGATTTTCAAGAAAAGTCAATCACGCTCAGGTAAACCGAAACCATCGCTAGATAGATAACTGGAGGGCTTAGGCACTGATTGAGAAGATGACAATCTTGAGGAGAACCCGTGTCTTGTTCGCGGCACCGTGGGGGGCGGGAGCAGACCGCGGATGAGTCGTTGCGGCAGTGGAGGACGGAGTGTGACTTCAATTGAAGGAGAAGGCGCTGGCGCAGTTGTATTCACAGAACGGAGATTACGTCGATTAAATGTGGGCGAAGATACCAAGGCATAAAAATTGCAGGAAAACACATCTCACCTGTGACGGTCGTACCGTTTCCTTTTTCCATTCTAGGGTCTGAAATTCTGCAGAGCCGTACACCTCCATTGTTTCATTTCAACGGAATGGCGGTTCTTACTAGAGCGGATCGACATTTCATGGAAAAGCATTCTATAATTTATTACGTGCAACTAAATTTTATTATTAATTCCAACTAGCTTTCATGAAAAAAACAATAGCTACTAATGATCAATCAAGACGCAGTATCTTAGGTTCACTTACCCCGTGAATGTCTCAGATTGGGAACAAATTTCACAGAAACCGTTCGTTACCACCGATATATTAACATACCTAAATTAAAATTAACTTACCTGACGGAAACTTACTTGCTGTTATAACGAAGCCTTACATCGTACCAGGAGCCATACTTACCGTGTCTTGCTGATAACTCTATACAAATTGCTTTAAAAAAATCGTTCTGAACCTTCTTACCGAAGGGAGAGTTCGTTTCTTCAACGTTGGAAACATTTCTTGTAAGTAAACTCGTGGATTTGCCAATAGGAAGGATAAAAAGCAACTTTTCGAGGTCATAGTATTTATGAATTCTTTAGAGATGCCAATGTATTGAAGTAATTTCGAGTAAGTCGACACCCAAAGCTCCAAATTCAGTTCTTATTCCGAATTAGAATTGAGCTGTAAAATTTGGAGCAGATCATTGACGAAAATCGTCAAATTCGCTGGCAATCGGAGTGGTTGCTTACCTTCAAAGGAACAATCTTACCCAAAATTTACTAAATTAGCGCAGTTGTTGGCTTGCACCGTTGTGATGACAGCATGTCGTAATTTTCGGCTTTTGAGAAGTTCTGGCTGGAGTAACACGTTGCAATGTAGAGCTGAGATGTAATGCATGGAGTCAAACAGGATCTGAAGGACTGTGGCATTGAGGTTGGAGTCTTCCAGCGTCGAGTGATGGCTCAGGAATGTGGGCAGGACAACCAATGTAGAATGATGATCATAGCTGCTTTCCAAAATAATCGCTTTTTTTAACAATTTATCGTAAAAACACTGGATGACGGACAAAGAAATGCATATAACACATAAAATTTTCGTCGATATCTTGTTTCTCGTTGTAGATACTGGGCGCAGTGCAAGCTTATTCGAAATTTTCCAGTCACCAGCAGCAGCATGAGCAAGGAGGACAAGCACGTGGTCAAGTTATAACAAGATGATATGTTATTATAATTGATGTGTGAAGGAGCGAAATACTGATGTAATTTCCAATTGCAGCAGAAACGAAACGAACTTTACGTTGTGAGCAAAATAATATTTTCGGAGATAGCGGACATTGCATGCATTCAACGCAATCACTCCGTGCAATAAAACACTTAGGTGATAGTGCAAGCAAAATTACGCGCGCATATGTTGGGCTCGTTGCAGTGAGGGTCAAACTTTTCTCCTGTTTTCTGGTAACGTCGAATTTTCCAAAAAGACCAATTTTCCCGGAGAGCATAGCCATGTAAATCATAATGGTTTTGATTTACGATAAATAAAAGCACACCATAATTTCGTGGGTCTCGATGATAACTTTGCAAAACAATAGAATTGTGGGTTGAGGCCCCCTCATGTAAATTAGAAGTAAAACGCTTTTCTCCCTTCAAAATTGCCTCGCACTCGAGGAGTGACATCGTGATAATTTAGATCATTCACAGCTGCCGTGGATGTCGTTGCACAATACGGTGACGTGTGAAGAAAATCCGACCAAACCATATTTTACCGACCAACTAAACAAGAAACAAGCAGCACCAAGCATCACCATGGAAGAGGCAGGAGCAGCAACTGCGTAGATTCAAAATCCTCCCAACCACAGCACCTGTCAAAAATAACATGAAAATATTACAGGTTATAACTTAAATTAATACATACCCCTTGACGATTATCTTGAAGGCAGTTTTTCTTTCTCTTTCTGCAAACCAATCGATCAGGTAAGCGGCCATTTTAGGCGCATTTTTGTACAGCTTGAAGAATCTGTAATAGTTACTCATTGCCCACGCGGCCCTCAACTTCAACGCAAATGATATACAAATGTCCCCTTTCTGTTTGGGTGTGAGCTCTGCCATCAACGATGTCATGTCTGCAAAACAAGAATAAAAGTCAGACACTGTAAGAAGTCTATCTCGTCAGCAAAATTAAATACAGATGAAATAATCTTCGAAACTAGAGGAAATAAATTAGAAGAAACATTCTAGGATCATACTACCATTAGCGAATTTGAATCGGCTGGAGCTTGTACCAGCAATGCTTGGAAACTCCAGTACATGGAATTTTTTCAATTTTTTTATTTTTTAAATAAATACCAGTATTTCTGAAGAAACTACATTATTTGTATCCTGAGCATTTCAAAATTACCTGGGTCTTGCCGCTGACCTCAAAGTATCATTTGTTTGCTCGTTGGAGGCCATAAGAAGGAACCAATTTTACAAATAAATTCATTGGTAATGACTAATCACAAAGCAAAGTATGCATTAAAAAGGAAATACCGAGACATACTTCTAAAGAGTATGATTTTCTTAATTGGAGTAGTATGCGAGTGCTCACCTAGAGTGTTTTTTGTGTAAATGTAGTAGAGCAACCGATAGGCCGTGAACTCGAGTGCATTAGGGGAGTTAGGCACTTCATTGTAGAGCTGCTTCAGTTGTGACTGGCACTGATTGAACTCTTCATGATCGTTCGTCTCCAAGGCGATACGACAATGGCTCTCGTAAACCTGAAACGCATGAATAATAGGATTGTAACCAAGAATTAACCGAAGTGAAAAATTAGTTACTGTCCTAAGTACTGTCAATTAGTCACGTGATGATTTAAATATGAAGAATATTATGGTAGCTGAAAATAAAATGATAAAAATACAAGCAAATCATGAAATTTAAATAAATGATAATTCGCAGGCTTTTGTGGTTAATAGGTATAAAAACAAAAGACTTACCAGCACAGTGAAGGCATCTCGAATTCCTTGCACTGTCAAGTCCTGTCGGATGCTCTTCATTTGGTTGCAAGTGTACCTATAATCTTTGTTCTCTACCCAATCTTTCTTAACAAATTCAAGAGATTTGTGTAGTGTAGCCAGAGTTCTAACAGTGCTAGGGTCAGGAGCTGAGGTAAGCCTCAAGTATTGTTTCTTGAGCTCAGTGGATGTTCCCACAACATGCATGGCAGTCCAGTCCATGTCACCCGAGTCGACTGAAAAGAGAGAGGCGTTGATGGTTGCCATGATACTGGGGGTTGTGGTGGTACTCGAGTCCGATGCAAGAGAGATCGCGCCCCTACCGCGGCCCCGTCCTCTTTTGCCTCGTCCACGCCCTTTGCCCGGGGAGGTGACAGTTTCTTTGGTCTCCGACCCACCCATCATGTTCTGGAACCTGGCCGCGCGCTTCTGCAAGTGTGCCGCAGTCGAGAGATCCGCGTCCAGAGTCATCTTGCCACCTTTGCTGTAGAAGTAGATTTCTCCGCGCTGGTCCCTACGAAGAAATAGACAATCATTCAGATATTAAATTTAACCAAACAAAGGAAATAGGATGCGCGCTGGTCCCTACAAAGATTTAGACAATCATTGAAATATTACATTTAACCAAAGGAAATAGGATGCCAAGAATTTTCTAGATTTTTTTGAAGACGTCCCTTGATTTTGAGCATGACACCATGGAAGCAAATGACGACCCACTGCTATCATTGTTATATACGTATTATTAACGAACTTTTTCGCGTCGGTCTTCATTTTTTTGTTGGGTTTGTTGTCATCGTCGCTTTGGTCCGCAGCGCCGCCGCGGTTGCCGCCTCCGCGTGTGGCGTTACCGCGTCCACGCTTGACGCCGCGTCCGCCACTCTCACCTCGCCCTCGACCGCCGCGACCACCGACCGCCACAAAACCACTGCTGGTGCTGGCGTCGTCAGGGGAACGAGACGAAGTCGTTTGTTGACGACGAGCGTCACGTCTGCAAACCCAACATACGCCTTAGGCAATGGATCAAATAATGTGGTAGAAAAAAACGTATTTATAGATTCAAATTGTCGCGTCTGTACAATTAATATCAGGAACTATTATAGTTTGGACAAATCTACTAGAAATAATGAATTATTTGAAAATTAATTCTAAAGTATTTCATTGTACTCTTCCAACAAGATGGAAGTCAGATTTTTATTAGCGTACATTACACAGGATGATGCAAATGAGCGGGATTTGATTCCAGAATACGAACATATTAAGCATTTTTGCAAACATTAATCAATTTTACTTCTTACGTAGCTTGCACCAAGAGCTCAGGGAAGTCATTGACGTGAACCCACCTGTTGCGACCTGAGTATGGCGAACGAGACCTGGACCGAGACCGGGAGCGAGAGTAGCCCGAGCTGGAGCCTCTTCTGTTGCGCCTCTTACCACGGCCGCCGTCAAAACCAACGCCTTCTCGACCTGTCTCTTCTTCTTCGTAGCTGAGACGATCCTCGTTGAAGCCTCCTCTGCCTCCCTCACTTCTTCCTCGTCCTCTTTCAAATCCTCCTTTTCCAACATCCATGCTTCCTATACCAGAGTCTGGACCTCCTCCCCTCCCACCAAGTTCACCTCTTCCACAGTCATATCCTTTTCCGCCGTCAAAGCTTCCCCTCCCGCCATCGAAGCCTCCCCTTCCACCATCATAGCCCCCTCTTCCGCCATCAAAGCCTCCTCTTCCACCATCAAATCCTCCTCTTCCACCATCAAAGCCTCCTCTTCCACCATCAAATCCTCCTCTTCCACCATCAAAGCCTCCCCTTCCACCATCAAACGAGACTCTACCACGATCAAAACCTCCTCTCCCGCCGTCGAAGCCACCACGGCCACGATCGTAGCCCCCTCTTCCTCTATCGAACCCGCCTCGGCTGGGGAGGAGACCTCCTCGCCCAGTGGGACCGTCCTGGACGCCCTTGTCCGAGATGCTGGCTTTGTCCATATCACCGACGTTACCATCGCCGCGAGAAGGGAATTTGCTGCGAATGTTGGCAAACATCGAGTCACTGTGAACATTGGGCACCGCTTCCTCGTTCCAGTTCTGTGAGAAAATATACAAGTTGTACGCCAGTAGGGATTTCACCAATCATAATATAATTGCTCAGAGCAGAAAAAATGTATGGAAATTCGTCAAAAACTGAAATGAACGAGACAAAATCATTAACAGTTTGGAACACTGCAAGTTTGAACACATAACAGCAGAAATTTAGAATCCTCTGAGATAGGCACCAAGCGAGCCTTGTTAAAAAAGCACGAGCTACAAACATGTTGTTAAGTCAATTCACAAGCCAAGCATTTTACAGAAATATAATGCTAGAGAGAACAAAACGTACGTGAGTCCAAAGCGTGCCAGTCTTCGCAGCAGCAGTAAGCTTGCCTTTCAGTACTATCTCTACCTGATCCTTGTCCAGATCTGTGACACATTTCGAGAAGCATCGCTCCACGTATCGTCTGCAGATCAAATAATTAAGGTTAGATTCGACTCTCAGATGACGTCAAGCTAGTCAGTGGTAGATTTCAAAACTTTGTCTGCAAAGCTATGTATAAAGCCAATCACTGAAAGACTGCGTAGTTTCGCATCCAATACAAAAATTATAAGATAAAGGGGCACGACAGAAAGGTACACACAAATTCGTTTGAACCTAGAAAAGCATGACAATCCAGTAAATGTATCATTGCAATGACAGGAAGAACTATAAGTTTCAATAAAACTACCTAGTTAGTTACATGTGGCTGAAATATTTGATAGATATCCATTAATACACTCACTTCAAAGATTCTGGCCAGTCCCCCTTCAACATATTGGCAACATCTTGCTGGTTCTGCTGCTGCTGTTTATTGCTGTTCAAGTTTCCAGTATTTTTAGCAAGGGATTCTTTACTGGACACAACGCCGCTGGTGTTGAACCCTGGTCGAGGGCCCAGAAGAGATCCCTTGTGGGCCATGCCAGGCCCATCACTACGCCAGGAATTGTTCAAGTTAGGCGGTTGACCTGAAGGTGCACTTTCTCTCAAGTCAACATCCTTGTCTTGGTAAGGAACGTTTCGGTAATCCTTATCACCACTCCCGCTGCGTTCATCAGCCCAAAAGCCTTGCTTGTTCATTTGATCAGGCCCCCAGGGGCCATTTTTCTTAGGGGTAGCTAGTAATGCATTTGGTTTGTTACTGAACAAATTTTTGGAAGGAAAATTGAACTTAATTTGGCCTGAAGCAGCAGGAGTGCCATAAGGTTTATCGAAGGAAGCGTGAGGTTCACGTCCATCACGATCATTCACCTTATTATACATATTATCATCACCATGATGCTGCATGTGCTGATGATAACCTGATCCATAATGCTGCTCATCATCCATCCCTTGCTGTCTGTCAGGGTCCCCACCTTCTGGCCCGCTGTGGCCTCCATACCAACCGCCATACCCGAAATGGGGATGAGATGGAGGCGGGCCACGAGAATCTAAGCCACCTGAATGACTTGCTCCATAAAAGTCAGGTTTTGAAGAGTGGAAATTTGGAGGTGGCATGTTGATATCAAAGCCTCCGTGGTATGGGGATGCGTGAGGAATATGGGGAGGTTGGAGAGCTCGAGCTTCTTGATCTTGGGGAAGAGGTGGAGGTGGTGGAGGAGGACGAGAGAAGTCAGGAGGAGGATAAGGCAAATTGCTAGGTACATCCATGCTTGTGGTCTTATTGGTCTTTTCCAAGTCTTTGCTGTCTTTCTCAGGCTCCTCATTTTTGGCTTCTTTAAGAGCAGCTGCATAAGACTTGACAGACGGTGCAGTTTCAGGAGATTTGTCCTTTTTAGCTTTGTGTGCCTTCTCTCGCTCCCTCTCTTCCCTCTCCTTTTTCTTTTTTTCCTTCTTTCTTTTTCTACGCTCTTCTTTTGATTCTTTCTCCTTAGTCTTCGAGGATTCAATTTTGGGTGGAGGAGGCGGCACCAAGGGGGGAGGTGGCGGAGGGCCGGGAGGAGGAGGGGGTGGTAAACTCAGTGATGGTTGGGGGATGGGGGGAAGAGGAGCCTTGTCGCTCTTTACTGAGGATTTGGAAGAGACATTAGGAGGATTAGGAGGCAGAGGAGGAGCAGTCGGGTCACTCATCCCTGGAGGAGGAGGAGGTGGAGGTGGCACTACAGAGGCACTGTTGTTGCTGTAGTCCCAACCAGCCTGTGTACAAGGGAGAGTCTTGCTAGAAACCTGAGCCACAAATCTACATTCTAGATGACTATTTATATAGTAATCTAGTCATCATAACAAAATAGTGAAAAATTCTAGATGACATGGTCTTTATGTGACATCATGTGATGAGATATCTTAGACACTATTATTAATAAAAAAACACAATACAGTGAAATATCTCGTCATGAGCAGAACACATGAACAATTATATGCCGACAATAAACGTTTAGGAGTACGTCCTCAATTGCTCATCATTGATTCTAGCAATTAACAACACTTAGATAATCAATGGAAATGTTTACCATGTTTTTCATGATACATATTGAAAATATGACCATAAAGTGTGGAGCAGTCAGGTGAGAAAACATCCAGTACTTTCAATTCCTATCTTATTGGCATGGAATATAACATGCTTATCTCAATTATAATGGAACAGCATACCGGTAGTACAAATTGATGCTCATGCACAATTAAGGCTTAACTTACCTCCTAACCTAGGCCTCTTGACTCCTATGAGTTCAACAACTAACCTGAGCAAGTAACTACCAAGAGATCTTGACTGCTTTTCATTTACCTTAACTACACACTAACTGGGCTAATTGTTGTTTTCACTTGAAAAAATGTGTAGTGCAGGTATCCATTTAACATCAACAAAAGACAACAAACATGGACAAAGTACAAAAATGACAGAAGAAAATTATGGAATATATTGTACAGTCTTTAAATAGAGGTAACTAAATACCTTCACAAATATTAAATCAAAAAGTACATTATCCGAGCTACATCACAATAACATGAGACGTACATAGCCAGGATAACTGGAGTAAGGAGATGCTGCATAGTTGGCACCCCACTGTCCTGGACCATAAGGTGAGTATGCAGGGGATGCATGGGCACTGACAGGATACCCAGGATACACTGCAGGAGAGCCACCAGTGTAGCTGCCTGAGTACCAGCCTGAAGATTTAGCATCTTCGCTTTTGCTGGCACTCTTGTCTAGGCTGCTGTCTGTTTTATTTCTTTCTGTTGTGCTGCTCATGTTGTCCTGGATTAGTTATCCACCTGAAGAAAATTGTCTTGTTAATACTGGGGTACAAAAATTAAGTCTGACTGCATAAACTAGATTTGTCTTCAAGCAAAACCACACATCATGAAAGATATTTCATGGTTATGGTTGTAATTAGCACAGGCCCAAAGTTAAAAGCAAAAACAGACATCTTCAGAGGTGTGCAATAGAATAATTTTCTTTGTAAATCATTATCAGTCAAATTTAATAGAGGATCATCTAAGGGGATCAGTTCAACTAAGTCCACATGATGTAACATTGGATAAAGGACATATATGCACAGAATGCATAAGGAGAATAAGCAGAATGCAAATTCCACTTGCAGAAATGCAAGTGAAATTTTTCATCTAAACAGATTGAGCATCAATGACAAGCAAACAAAATTGATGCAGTAGTCAGTAGGGTTCACAGTTATTGCGGAATGTAGCACAAGGTTCTGAATTTAGTCCAAGTCTAGCTCAACATTGAAAAATCCACAGTTATTAACCAGCTATGAATACTGGGCCACATCAAGTCAATTCATTTCAAGTGTACAAGATAACAGATTACAGATATAGATCAGCAGCTGAATCATTCTAAACCTATTTCACTTCTATGACAGTAGGGAATTCTCCTACTTGCTATTGACCTATGAGACATATTTTTCCCCTGAATTCGGAATATTGTGGCCTGGTTGTGCACTTATGTTAACAAATAAATAGGAGATAATCATCTAGAAGGAATTTTGCAGCCCCAAAAATGGTAGGTAAGTTTTGACTGTCAAGGACTAAAGGTAGATCTAAATCAATGTATTCCAGTGAGTCCATGGTGGAATTCCAAGAAGTAGTTGGTCATTTAGGTGCAGCAGGACAACTGAAGCACTCTTCACTTGAAAGGGGGCAGGAGGGGGTGCAATTGTAGGGCCTTGCAGCCTGCAGGAGTGCTAATTGTAAAATTGCTAAAGAAATGCCAGTGATTTGGGTGGTGGAGTGCTGTGGTGCAGTCATTGAGGCTACCTCACTCCTTTTGGAGGGGCACGCTCCTATTTTGGGCACCACACTCCTCAATTACATAGTTCCATGGTCTTTAGAATGCCACTATGTATAATTATTCCACTCCAGGTCCAAGTCCTAGGCTATGCAGGCATGGAACATTTCTACCTTCCAGGCCACAACTAGAGCCATCCTGCAAATTAAGAACAGCAAGATTCCAGCTAGGTGGATTACCTCTGATGTGACTGTTATAAAAATGACCAATTAAGCTGCAAGATTACGAATGTGGTAAAAAATTTGTCACTTTAGAGCCGAGAGATTTCAGATAATAGTAGGAAAATTAAAATTATAATTCTACTTGACTGCTCCTCTGAATTCTACAGCCAGCCATACAGCCAGGCTGCAGAAAGTGGGTGAATATTGCAAGATCTTTGGCGATGCATCAGCAGCAAAATTTATGCTTTCAGAAGATCTTGCCAACACATTTGGATTAAAAATATTGCATTTTAGATATTCACCAGTCTTTGGCAAACTATTAGGGAAATAGTTGAAAATCTGAAAGACTGCATGCGCGCATAGTAAGGTTTCCAGTACATTGGATGGATCAGGATGCAGTGAAGCTTGTCCAGAAATCAGTTGTGATCAGGGTTGGCATTGATTAAATCAAACTGATTAAATCATTAGATTTTTTATAAAAATCATGATTTTATGATTTTTATTTCATTTTTATATATTTAAATATATTGAGTGGCAGTCTTTAATTTATTTTGAGGTATTATTATTCATGGTTCAATATGAATGTACTATGACAAATTGGAATATGAACTTGTTGCCTTTAGTGTGCATTAGGTTCCAATGAATTGAATGTTTTTGGTACAGAGGCATCAAGTGTTGCAATACATTGTACACAGCTAGCAGCTTAGCTAATTCTTATAAGGCTATAAGTAGTCTTCAACTATTTGATTATTGGTTATATATTAATTACAATATACAATTTAAATGTGTTAGCTAGCTTATACATGGTGGGGCAGAACCAATTGAGCAGTTTTGAGGTGAAATAAAAAAAGTAATAGAGGTACATAAAGAAGAAAGTTTATTTTCCTCAATGTTAGCATAACATACCATTTAAAATGCTTATTTTCTGAAAATCATATGAGGAAGACGGTGTCCTGTAGCTGTATCACACTGTGTTGGAGTCATTCTCAGAACTTTCCTACAGCACATTTATGCATATGGTGAGGTATGGCCATAATCTCTGCTGCAAAAATTTGTTCCCTTAGCTGTAGTAGGGTGTGAGGGCAACTTTGGAACACCCTCTCTTTTATATGTCCCCAAAGAAAGAAATATCAAATGCTCAAATCAGGTGACCTCTCAGGCCACTGTAAATCACTCCTCAGAGACACCAGATGTCCAGAAAACCTGCATTTCAAAACATTGAGTGACAATTGGGCTGTGTGAGCTGTAGCCCCATCCTGCTGGAACCACACATCTCCCAATGCTTCATTTTCAACAATGTTTTCCATCCTGGGCTGCAAGAAATTTTTTTTACCAAAAAATAAAATTGATTTTACCACCCGGTCAAAGATACCCCCAGAGCTGGGGTAAAAAAGACCAGCGATTTTTTTTAATTACATCAAAACTATGAGAGGCAGGAGCCAGCAATTTATGGTAAGTAAAGCTAGAGTATAGACCTGTATTTTGCATGTTTCAATTTAAGTTTAACTTATCTAGTAAAAAAATGGCATCATTTTGAAAAAAAAAGTGGTCAAAGTTACCCCAGTTTACGGTACTTCTTACTTTCTTGAAATGGTTTCTGAAATTCTAATTTCTGGATATTTCAATGCTTGCCCACTAAAGGGTTAAATATGTCAATTTAAACCAGAAACAAAAAAAATTACATTTAAAAAACTCTATATAAATTAATTAAATGCAGTGAATAAAAATAAAATGTTAGAATTGTGCACCTGTTTTATTTCAAAGTGTTATCTTTTCTCATAACATTAGTCTCGTTTCAAATCGTTTGACGTTTGTTTTTTTATCGTTCAGTTTATGTTTAGTATTGGTTTATTGGTCTGAATAAAATGGGAACAGTGTTCCAGTCATTACTAGTTGGTGCATTTAGAGGGTAGAGTCTGGTAGATTTATAGGACATAAAACTAGTAGATTTATTGATAGTGCTGTGCACCGTGCTGTCAGCTACCTATCTGTTATGCGACTCTTCAATGTTTAGATCCGCATCCCTGAAGCGTTTTTGTATATTGAAGCCTGTTAAATGGTTAATATAAACTATAAATGAACTGATTCTAAAAAATCTCTGGTTTGTCACTATGCGCCCGAGGCACTAATTCGTAAAAGAATTGGGCAATAATCAGCAAAATCAGCACAAGATTGGAAAAATTGGACAATTTTTCCTGACTGGAAATGATCTATATCAATCTGGGAATGACTGTAAACCTATGTAAAACCCAAAAATTGCACTTGGTTAGGTTTTTTTTTTTTTTCACCGATTTTAGGCATTTTTAGCGCAATTTTTGTGTTCTAACTTCTACATAGGTTTACAGTCATTCCCAGATCGATATAGATCATTTCCAGTAAAAAAAAAAAAAATCGAATTTTTCTAATTTTGTGACAATTTTCGCCTAATTTTTTTTTTTTGACAAATTAGAGCCTTGGGCATCTCCCCCCCCCCTAAAACCCCTGGTTTCCCATGCATGGGTCCCCCATTTTCTATTATAGAACATATATGTATAAAAAATCGGTTTCCGATGGTGACCGCCAAAAACGGATTTCAGATTCTTTAGTAATACTTTAGATTAAGTGCATCCATAAAAAAGGTATTTTCTTCTAATTATATGTTTTTTGGGGTGTAGATTATGAATCTGAAATCTGTTTTTGGCGGTTGGCATCAGAAATTTTTAAAGGAACCTGTTCCTAACTGGACCTAACCTGCAAGGTTTTCGTTGATTGGCTAGGTTTTTCTGGCCGCCGCCACACGGACTTCAAACATAGAAAAAACCTAGCTGATCAACAAAAACCTTGGAGGTTAGGTCCAGTTAGGAACAGGTTCCTTTAAAAATTTCTGATGCTGACTGCCAAAAACGGATTTCAGATTCTTAATCTACACCCCAAAAAACATATAGGGTAAATGCAGTATATTCCGACACATTAAGGACGCATCGAGAAATGAAAAACTATAAAAAAATAACCGTATGCATTACTCAAGTTCTGTTTACTTTATGTGACTCGCAAAACACCGTACTATGTGCCAGCAACGATGAAACTTCACAAAATGTTGCCATATTCATTTAAAAGCCTTTAGAATGCAAACCTACCAAATCCCTATATTACAACACTGTGTGTGGCAATATTAGGCACGTGGTGAGGCGTATTCCGTCCGCGCTTCAAATTCTACTGATACGTAATGCCGTCATCCACGTGTTTGAATTCCGTTTGCTGTGTAAGCTGTATTGGAATACAACACGGCTTTGAATTAGAACACTAATGAATATTGAATACTACTTAATTACACTTTTAATTAACAACTATTGAGCTTTTAATTAAGAAATTTTAATTTTTGTACATAGCTTGGAATGATCTGTGTGTGTCCAATTCAAGTTGTGACGGAATTAGTTGTCATGTGTCTAAATCCATTTCTCAACTTAATCATCTATTAATTTATTTACCACTTGAAATCAGCAAATACAAGTATACTTAAAGGATTCCTAATATATTCACAGACGTATTTAAAAGTCTCAAACCATAATATTCTTCCTATACAAACAGTTACTCACTATTTGGTAGAGCAAGGTCAACTGTCAAATTTGACACATTTTTTGATGATCTCACTGGGTAGTGTGCATTGTCTCTCTTTGGATCTCAATATTTTCCCGCTAGATGGCCAAGACCTAGTGTTTTGGCAGTAGTTCGACGCGCAAATGTACGACGTCACAATTTCAACCATCAACAAACGCATGGAACTAAAACAGAGCTTAATATAAGGAAAAACTAAAGAGGTGACGGAATTACCCACGATGTCGGAATATACCGCGTTTACCCTAATTAAAAAAAAACTTTTTTTTGGATGCAGTTAATCTAAAGTAATACCAATTCTTTATCTACACCTCACAATCAGGATGATGTATGTTTTCGGGGAATTTTCCCGTGCATTTTCACTTTTTTTAACCCATTACTGCGCACAGTTGGCGCAATGTAATGAAAATTGATTTTCTTCGCGCACGTGTTCGCGCAATCCCGGCCATCAATTCTATGTTGCGCTGCCGCGCATGAGCAGTTTGTGGAGAAACAGACATAATACTCAGTACAGTATGCCTTTAATTATCTTTCAATAATATACGATTTTTTTACATGGAAATTTGGTGAATGAGAAATCTAGAACTTTATTTTAGAAGAAATTTTCTCCAAAGTTATATGGCAACACTGAACACCGTCTGTAACCTGTTTACATTTTGTATGTATAATAGCCGCAATTTACGATTACCATACGTTCCGTATCCGACAAGCGGAAGAGTCAAAAGTAACCCGGACATGTCTTACATTTTAGTCAGTTCAACTCGCGTAGTTGATATAAACTTTGATCTTTGATAACCAACAAAATATAACTTTTTAACTGTGCTGACTCTTAGAACCTGAGTTGATGCGTTAGCAATCTAGTTAACCCATATCCAGTTAACCTACACGTTTGTGTGTACGGTCAGTGCGATTGCGTAATTTGCGTTGCCGCGCGTCCATATTTAAACTTTTTTTAGCTTTCTAAAGTACGGCGCACGGTGCATTTTTGTACCAGCATAGTATGGCGCACTGCGCAGGTCATTACAATGACAAAATAAATTCCCGCGCACCTGGCACATCTTCCTGACCATGGTCTACACCCCAAATGCCCAAAAAACATATAAATAAAAAAAAACACCTTTTTTTGGATGCACTTAACCTAAAGTAATACCAGCGTCCGGCATCTCAATGCAATAGACTACCTACCTAGTAGCCCCTACTGGCCCTACCTATTAAGGGGAGCGTCTACACTCTACCCTAAAAATTATCTCGGCTATTTACAGTCGGATCACTCTGAAACTTGGTACACATATGTGAAATGGAAAAAAAACTCGCATTTTGTTCGTGTGAATTTTTCGAAAAAAATGAAAGAAAACGTGAAATTCTTAGAAAACGGCTATAAAAGGGGGTACTGTAGAAATGGATCTAGTCCTAGGATTTCCAAGCTACAACATCGAGACACATATCATTCGATGCGTGAGGTCTTCATCTACAAAATGTTCATCCCCTTTTTTTGAAATTCTAATTTTTGTGGAAGTGGGGGGCATTTTTCCAAAATGTTCGGAAATTTTTTTATTTTCCCCCTACCACCCCTTCTTTTCGCAGAATAAAATTCAAACTATAATGAAACTAGAAAAACCGGGATGAACATTTTGTAGATAGTTTATTTGCAAATTGAATGCAATATGTCTCATTGTTGTAGCTTCAAAACTCTAGGAGGAGATAGGTTTTCCGCGACAATAAGTGTGAATGTTGAGGAGAGCGCGACAAAGTCCCGAGCGCACTGCAATAGGCTCTCAATGTAGCATAGATACCAAACTAAACATTTCTGGAGCTTGATTCCACTCAAGGATGGTGGGAGCAACTACATGCGCTGCTGATGCGCACCTCTCCCTACAAAGCCCGGAGGCACACTGAGCTACACCTCATAGAAACGCTGTATATGTAGTGCTGGGCAGCGAATTAGCTCCTATCTAATTTAGTGACGGAATATAGGGATTTGGTAGGTTTCCATTCTAAAGGCTTTTTAATAAATATGGCAACATTTTGTGACGTTTCATCGTTGCTGACGCGTAGTGAAGTGTTTTGAGAGTCATGTGAAGGCAACAGAACTTACGTATAATGCATACAGTTTTTTTATAGTTTTTCATTTCTCGATGCGTCCTTAGTGCGTCGGAATATACCACGTTTACCCTACCCAAGATTTAAACCAATTTCTTATGTATGATAATGCTGGTAATGCCTGGTATCCTGGATACTTTACTGGTCTACTTATAAGACTCAAAAATGAACTTGTTGGAGAGTCTAAATAACTCTTTGCTTTGCCACTATGTTGCTTGGGCATCTCAATGCAAAAGGCTAATACTATTAGGCTATTAAAAACCTTATTTTTGCTAATTCCTTGTTACCTAGTGTTTTAGGATCAAGGGAAGATTCATGCATAAATTGCAATATCAATGAACATACCTATAAATCTTGAATAATTAGGATATTAGTTGCATCAACAAATAAATTGATATTAGGATTAGTAGGTGACAATAAATAATTGAAAATCAGAAGAGGTAAGGAATTAAGGATAGTGGACGAAGACTGACAGTCACTGACTCACAGTCTCACTGCCAACTTTGGCCAAGGAAATTAAATTGGTAATGGCGTAAAATAAATGCATACTATAATACTTGAAGAACAATGAATATTTACTAGGCACAATACCTGAAAAAGGAAGAGATAAAGCGCCAAAAATCGAATCAATCCGTCCAAACTTCTTCAGCATCCGCAACGCTCTTGGCAAACGTATTGACACAAAATGGCGAAGGTGGGGAACTTTCGCAGTAAATAAAATGCGTTTAAAGTTACCCTAACAAAAATTTCAATTAGTGTCTTTATAACTCATTCTGTTAAAACTATTTGATGTTTAAAATTTTCATACATTGTTAGCTGCTTTGGAAAGTTTTAAGTCATTTCCAGCCATCGTTCCTAAGTAATGCAGGTGAAGACATTTTAAGGCGGAATGTTTATTTAAAGCAGAGCAAAAATACGAATGACATTTTCGTGCCTATCTATCTCCAAAAATACTGTTTTGGAGTAGATTTTATGTAATTTGACTGTTATCATCTCTTTTATTACAATGCGGCAACATTGACAGTTCACAGTTCTTGCTAATTTATCCAGTGCAACAACGATGGCTGGTGAGGGTGGACGTGTTGACGATTTCTTTAGGTATCTGAATGGTTTCCTGGCGAATATTCGCCCAGATGACCCTTTGCCTGTCCGTGCCCCCAGCTACAAAGTGACAGAAGTAGAAATAGATGGTCAAATTCTAGATATTGTTCATCGTTATCTCAATGAAAAGTGAGTCATGTTGATTATTAGCACCTCTCGCCTTGACGCCTTATCAGCAAACGAAAATACAGGGTTGGAGGCATTTACTAATTTTTCCCATTAGCTAATTCAATATGTAGTAGGCCTATTTTTAAAAATTGAATAGTGTATTTGAAAAAAAAATTACATTATTAGAGATTTAGAGTCAATATCAAGAATGGGATACCTAGGTATCTGGATTCTGGAGTTAATAATTCTTGACTCTTGAGTCTATTCATGTTAATAGCCTATTTGGTTTTTACTCTATTAGGTACTAGGTACCTATTACTAGTATTAGGTATTATTCTAATATAGTTTTGAGTTATGACTATCTTTTACTTTTGCAATGTGTGAAATTCACACATTGCACACATTAATGACACATATATTCATAATTCACACTGTGAATTAAGACTACCTATAATAGGCTATATCAGTATATGATGTCCAATTATAGGCTATATGATGTCCTATATCATCATCATGTCCAATTCAGGCAATTGTCTCTATTAATTTATGTACTACTCTTGAATATTTTTTGTTGCTTCAAACAAATTATCATTTAATTTATGAATTATTTTGGTTATTATTTATCTAGAAAATTGTTTGTATTAGAATTCAATTTGCAAAGTTATGTAATAATTATTTGATTTTTGTTTGCTTAGGTTTCACTCTATAACTTCAAAGGTTTTCTGTTAATTAAATCAATCTCAAATTTCTGTATTATTATTATGGCCAATCTTGAATATTGCATGTAAAATTAAAACAAAAATTGTGGGAGTACTGTATATAATATAAGGTATGCATTGTCCTACACTCCACAGCAGGATTGAGAAAGTTACACAATTGGAAAAAGGTAAAGATTTCACATTTCATGCAAGTTGTGCCACTTTATAATAATTATCTAAAAAAATCAGATCAGTACTCACTGCAATGAGTGACAGAGCGCATATTTTCTCATCCCTCCATGACGTGAACTTTGTGAAGTTATGGACGGACTGACATGACGAGCACAATAGCACCTTTTTTTCCATTAATGAGAAAATGTGCTAAAAATTACTCATCTAACAAAAATTGTGCAGCTTCAAAAATTGGGAGTAAGCTCCAGAGATGACAGAATCCTTTCATGGACAATTTTCAGATATTATAGGTGAAAATGGGCTGTTTTTCGTGTTTTTCACTGAAGAAATTGGGAAAATGACAAAGAACAAGTAAAAATTGGCCAGATTTTATGGGTGTTGTTGTCTGACTCATGGGAGGCTTCTGATCGATTTTGTAGCAAGGACAAATACTGCTGTCAGTGATTTTAGTGTCATTGATACTAACAGATCAATAAAGAGATAAATTTTGGAAATTGCTCTCGAAAACATGACTTTTTACTTAATTTTTTTGAGTTAAATTAGGTAAAGGCACTGGGTTGGAAGAGACATTCACATTATTTGTGCCTAAAATATTGGTTTAGAAATGAATTTTGATAATGGGACCTGATCAACACCTGAAAATTCTGCTAAAATGTAAATTTCCTTAAACATGGTGCAAGGGCCACAGTCCAGCCAGACTGAAGTCTTCCATTTTGTTGATTTACTAGCTAAGAGTTGCCTATAGCATCCTAATTCAAACTGAAATATTTTGATTACAAACCTATGAAGCTAAGTAATGATGCTTAGTAGTAACCAATAAATTTTTATGATGTTATTGTATTTTCTGGTGTCAATTGCACTGTAGGACCTCAAAAAGCAGTATTTAACCAATAATTTAGCCACACACAACTTGAATATGATGCTTTCAACCATTATGTCTCTGTTCTCAATGCCACTTGTTTCTGTTGTCCAATTATTGTGTTTCGAAAAGTCATATTGAAGTATCAAAAGTAATGCTGCTTGGTGCCTTCCTGTTAGCGAATTGCGTTTTGGAAGTGTCAGATAACGCTGCTTGGCTCCCTCCTGTTAGCGAAATGCATTTTGGAAGTGTCAGATAACGCTGCTTGGCTCCCTCTTGTTAGTGAATTGCGTTTTGGAAGTGTTAGATAACGCTGCTTGCTCTCTCCTGTTAGCGAATTGCGTTTTGGAAGTGTCAGATAACGCTGCTCGGCTCCCTCCTGTTACCGAATTGCGTTTTGGAAGTGTTAGATAACGCTGCTTGGCTCCCTTCTGTTACCGAATTGCGTTTTGGAAGTGTTAGATAACGCTGCTTGGCTCCCTTCTGTTACCGAATTGCGTTTTGTAAGCATCATGTTACGCTGCTCCGCGCCCTCGTTAGCGAAAGCCTGGATGCCGCGTATATACGTACAAAGCGCGCGCCTGAGAATGTGCAGCCACTCGTGCGTAATATTTTCCAGCCGCCGTTAACTAACTACTGCGTGTTAAGCTGCAGCTGTTACAATTTTGATGTTTACGAGCTCTTTAGTTTGTGTGCCTATGATGACTTAGGTAACAATAAAAGCCTTGTAAGCGTTCTACAGTTACACGAAAATTTATTTGTTGTGAATTCTTACCTAATTGTCGTTGTGGGAGCCGTATGGTATCTTTATATGATTACCTTTAGGACGCTTCGTGTGTAGTGACGAGCTATTAATATGGTTTAAATTATGGAAAGAAGGCAGTATTTTGTTATTTTTTTGTTGTGTGTATGTTGATTACAACCGACCTGAAGATGTCACCGTTATTCTCTGCAGTCTAATTACCTTTGTCTCGTTACTTTCAGCGCTATCATATTCCTGATAAGAACTCGAACGAGATGCTTTGTAATGATCCCTGGTACTGCATAGCAAAGGTCAACTGGAGATTCGTGCAATGACAATTGTTTTCAGAGCTCGCGTCTTGCGTAACAACGACTCTATTATTACTCTGAATTTATCTTGATAAATATTGGTCAAGTTTTCTGATGGACGGTTAATAAAGTTAGTAGGCAGTTTGTTCACAATTCAAATCAAATCGTTGTATTTAGATATGAATATTTATTGTGTAATTGTGGTTTTAGATGTTGAATTTTTGCATCACAATATAATAGCCGGCAAGCGTCTTTATGCTGAATCATCTCGTGAAGCAGTTTACCTAAGGTGAAGCACCGCGAAGGCTCTGTAGCTTCTTGAATACGTTGGTCGTGCCGGTGCAAGTTTTTATGTTTTTATCCAGTAACTTTTCCACAACTTGACACACTACCGATTTCTTCCTGAAGCAGTTATGACCCTGATAAATTGTCCATTAAGGAATGAGTATGATGACAAATTGTTTGCATATGAGAAGAAATGGGCGAACAGGCCTTGTAACAGGTTGAACATATTACTGTTATATAAGAAGGGAAATAAATGCTGTCAGTTGTTCGCTATTTGCGTTTGTCTTGGTGTTACAGCATAAGCAGTATCCTCTGTCGGTCATTAGCTATATGTGGACCGCGTATTTTAAAACGGTAGTCATCATTCCTTTTTGCTCCCTATAACGTGCGGGAGTTTGGTATTGCCTCGTGTGCATTAACCTATGATTCTATCCTGCTGCATTCAGAAGTAGAAGCTGTGTTTACATGGACACGCCTTGCGTTTTTTCTGCTGTATGGATTTCAAGGAACGTCCTAACCTGGGCAAATTACATGGCACTCCTATACTGCTTTAATCGGCGGGCGTGTACAATTTTTGTACAGTTTGATGGGCGGAAGTGCCTATAAGTTATATCCTTGTACTAAACACCCCTGCTTATATTTTAGATGGTTTTTATAAGTGCCTGTCGTTAGGGTATGATGAAGTACGGAGTTGTATTGCTCGTCAAGGGTGATTTTCCTACACAGTTGTGACGTTGATTTTAGTTTGAACTGTTCGTCGTACTTTGCTTTAAAGTGCGATTTTGATCTCGTTGAAAGATTAACGCCAGCACTGCTTGGAATGATATAGGTTTGCGACAGAAACTGTTATTTTTAAATTGCTTTGTGGTCAAAAAGATAGGACACTAAGCTGTGGTTGCATATAATAACTGAGCCGAATCAGAGAACAGATAATATTAATTTATTTAGCCAGTGAAGCAGGCGATGTGTAGGGGTATCTACTGATACCAAACTTTCTTATCCTTCATTACCTCACTGTTGCAGCTTCCTCATTCTTTCTTCATTATATTGACTATTTTTTCATTATGGTAATTTTACTGCGAAAAATTGACTTAGTAATTTTTATTGTGGGATTCATTTGCTTTCTTGATCTCTGAATAATGAAATGGTGAAGGCTCGCACACTCATACCCTAAAAATACGAGTAGGTGAATAACTTGCACGTTTTACTGCGAAAACTACAATATCATAATGTTTATTCTAGACATATTTTTTGATTTTTAGTGAATCCTGTCATAATTTCAATCTTTTTCCAGTAGTTAGTCGTATAAAATCAGTTTCTCGTTAGATTTATTTGAATTTCCGTAATTCCTTTCATTTTAATACAGTTTCCACTTTCCAGTAGTTAACCGTGTAACCTGTGATACCGGTAATCGCTGCTCAACAGTGGATACTCTAGGAGCAGAATTCGAATAATAAATTTTAATTCAAATATTACATTCGAATTCGAATAATAAATTCGAAATCGAATTTGAATATTAAATTCGAATTCAAATATTAAATTCGAATTTGAACACTAAATTCGAATTTGAATATTAAATTCGTATTCAAATATTAAATTCGTATTCAAATATTAAATTTGAATTCGAATATTAAAATCGAATTCAAATATTGAATTCGAATATTAAAATCGAATTCGAATTCAAATATTAAATTCGAATTCGAATACTAAATTCTAATTCGAATATTGAATTCGAATTCAAATAGTAAATTCGAATTAAATTATTAAATTCTAATTCGATTATTAAATTCGAATTCGAATATTAAATTCGAATTCGAATGTTCAATTCCAATTCGAATGTTCAATTCGAATGTTCAATTCGAATTTGAATACTATATTCGAATGTTAAATTCGAATATTAAATTTGAATTCGAATTCTTAGTCTTGAATGCTCGGCC